GTGAGCTTAGCCTCCCTTAAATGATCCGAGCCATAATTATATGTGTCATGTGACCGCCTCTTTTGAATGCTTGGCAAGCGCGAGCGGGCGTCGTCGGGAGGAGCCGGCCGTGTCCTCAGCGCCAGGACGGCCCCACCTCTCGCGGCCACATGTGCACGCGCACCAGCGCCCTCGGACGTGATGGGTCTTGCCCTCGCTGGGCCATCCGTGGCTGTTCTACTGTCCCTTCTGTGCCTAAGGGAGCAGTTTCTGGGCCCGGCAGGTGAGCGATGGAGCCGGGATTGCGTTGCTGGCTCTGTGTCTGGACTGGCTTCCTGGGGCAGCAGGGGCGACCTGCCACATGCGGGGTGGGGGGGGGGGGTGGCTCCCGACAACAGAAACGCCCCATGTCACAGTCCTGGAGGCCAGAAGTCCAAAGTCCAGGGCCACGGTCCCTCGGGAGGCCCAGGGGAGGGTCCGTCCCGCCTGCCTGGCCCCTGGGGCCCAGCTGCTCCTGGGCTTATGGCCGCGTCCTCTGTGTCCTCCGTCCACGTACAGCCTCCCGTCTGGGTGTCCCCCTCCTGCTCTTAGACGGGCCCTTGGCGTCGGGCTCAGAGCCTGCCTGCAAAGTCCAGGCTGAGCTCCTCTCGGGGCCCTGGGCTTACTTACATCTGCAAGGATCCTCTTCCAAATACGGCCCCAGTCACGGTTCTGGGGGGTTGACACGGACACTTCTTTCGGGGGGCTCTCCCGTTCTTCCCAGGGGAGTTGTTCCCCCGAGGGGTGAGGAGGCCCTGCTGGGTACGCTTTGCTGCTGAGCCCCATGCAGCATTGCAGCTGCGGAGAAAGCGTGTGTTCCCAGAGAGCCCCCTTCCGGTTCACTTCCACCTCTAATGAGTTCACACCCTTTGTTCCGCAGACACTGACGGGGGGGGGGGGGGGGGGGGGGGGGGGGGGGGGGCTGTCTTCGATGCTGGGGCAGCAGTGAGCACAAGTGGCTGCTGGGCCAACCTTGCATTCTCCCAGCCTCGGCACACGCAGGCTATGTCAGGATGCTTCGTGTCCCAGGGGGCACGTTGCAGGGTGGGGGCAGCCACAGAGCTGGGCGGGGTGGGCGGGGCCTGCCTGTGGTCAAGGAAAACCCGTGGGATAGAACACACCAAATAGAGGCATCTGGGGGCATCCAGAGAAGGAGCATTCTGGGCCCACTGACAGCCGTGCAGAGGCCCCGTGGCCGTGGCGTGTTTGGCTTGTCTGTGACAGTGGACCAAGTCTGAGGAGCATGAGTGCATGGAGGGTGTGTGGGGGGGGGCAGGGGCGGGACAGAGAGGGCCCAGCCTAGGTCCGGCCCTGTAAGTCTTGCTCTATAAGGCTTTTTGCTTTTACTTGGACTAATTGGGCAGGAGGGTGGAAGTTTCAACAGAGGAGAGACATGTTCCGACTTCTGTTTGAAAAGATTCTTTGTCCTGGGCCTTTGGGAATCTTGGTAGGAGCCGTGGCTTGGGGTGGCCCCTAGCACAGTCAGGGGAGTTCGCGCCTGGCAAGTCGTGGCAGGTGCTGGGCTCCTCTGAGGGCTAAGCTGATGCCCCTCCGTGAGTCTGCCAGGGACTGCCCGGCGGGCATGCTGAGCGAGGCAGGGCTCTGAACACAGCCCCAAGCCGACCGGGCCGCACCAGCCCTTGTCAGCCTGCTGCCTGGGCAGCGAAGGGGAAGGGGCGGACCCTGCAGACGGTGGTGTGTGCGGAGACAGGGTGTGTGTCCTGTAGATGCGACTGTCCCTCTGCGTCCAGCCTGGATGGTGTCCCCCAAGGGTCCAGTGCCTACCCTTGGCCAGCAGTCTAGCAACTGCCCATGCCAGAGCAGCAGCCATCCACAGGGGTGGCCCCTGGACAGTGCCCAGACAGTGGCCATCGCTGTGGCCCCTGGGGACTGAGCAGACCCAGACCAGACCCAGGCTCAGGTCCCAGGTGACATTCTTCCTGCAGCGGTCTGGTCTTGTGCTCCCTCAGCCCCTCGAAGCCGATGTTCAGCCTAGGATCAGTGTCTTTGTGGAGTCCTTTCTCTCTCTCTCTCTCTCTCTCTCTCTCTCTCTCTCCACCAGCCCCCCTTCCCCGCTCGACCAGAGCCTCAGGGGGCTTCATGGCCTCAACTCTCGGTGGAGTCAGGGCCCTTCCCCTGGTTTCTGTGTGGCCCCCCCTTCCCCCCCCCGCATTGTCCAGGAGGGCCTCGGGGCATTGATCTGGGGGGCTGGGGCTGCAGGGCTGACCCCCAGGGGGCGCCCCTGAGCCACTTCTATCTCCACTTGGGGACAAGCTCCCACCACAGGCAGGGCTGGGGTGCCACCTGCCGCCCACAGGCGCTTCATCTCTCCTCGAAATTACATTTATTCTGATCACAAAAGTAATACTTGCTCCTAGAAGACATTTTGGAAAAGCATAGTTTATCCATAGTCCCACTACTCAAATATACGCGATATTAATGTTTTATTGCATTTCTCCATCTCTCACTATGTACATATGATCTCCCTAATTTTTAAAATGCTGCCTTTTCATTTAATATTTTAACATTTCTAGCATCTGTCCTTCTACAAAGTGGAAATTGTATGGATGTGACCTGATGATCTGTTGAGCCAGCCCACCGATGACAGACATTTAGCTTATGAACTATTTCCCGAATGTGAGTTCTCTAGATGATTGCAAGAAAATATTCCTTTATTTGTTTTAAGTGTCCACTGCAGTGGTTTTTAGTATATTCACAGTTTGGCAAACATTTTCATCACCCCGTAAAGAAACCCTGTGCCCGTTATCAGCCAATCAGTCACTCCTCGTCTCCCTGCCGCCCCCCTCCCCCCTCCCCCCGCAGCCCTCCTCTGCCTTCTGTGTCTGTAGATTTGCCTCCTCTAGATGCTTTGCATAAGTGGAATCACACCCTATGGGACCTTTGGTGATTGGCTTCTCTCAATCAGCCTAGTGTCTTCCAAGTTCATCCTTGCAGTGTGTGCAGAACTTCCTTCCTTCTAGGGCTGAATAGTGTCCCACCATGGGGATGGGCCACACTGTTCATCCCCCGTCTGTTGATGGGGCTGGAGACCGAGCTGCTGTGAACGCGGGTGTACGGTACTTGTGGGAGCCCCTGCTCCCAAATCTTTTGGGCAAAGCTGTCACCTGACACTGGGGACACGGAGTGGCAGTTGACGTTGTGAAGTCCCCTCCCCCCGTTCCTTACTCAGCCCCCAGGGCAGGGACAGCAGGAGGGGGCAGCCAGGCCCCCATGCTCAGGCTGAAGGTCCGGGGCCCATCTGGGGAACCCTGCGGCTCAGGGGGAGAGGGCTGGTGGCCAGCAGGAGGGCGCCGGCTCGGCACAGGAGTGCCCAGGCACACCCGCCCAGCCCGCCCTCACCTCTCCACAGCCCAGGGAAGCATTAAATACTCATAGCAAATATTCATTATGTTAGAGTGTGCCAGTAATGCGCACACTCGTGCACCCACCCTTGACTGAAGGAAGGGAGCCCGTGCAGCCCAGCCTCCCTCTGTACCAGGCAGGGGGCTGGGGGTGGATGGGCAATGACCTGAATTCTCAGGTATGTCACATCTTTGCACTTCTTAATGGCCTTCCCTCATGGGACGTACCCCCACGTAAGACCTAGGGTGGTCCTGCGTGTTTCTGCGCCACGTGAGGGCCACACACAGCATGTGAGGGGCTGTGACCAGCTCCCCTCTGCCTCTGTTGACTCTGCCACTGCACGACTAGGTCACAGTCGATCCGCACCATCGCTGAGCAACCAGTGCCACAGTGAAGATTCTGCCACATCTGCAGATCACAGGGGCAAAGTTCCACATGCATGTCGGTGGCGGCCCCCAGGGCGGGAGCTTGGGCAGCTGGTGCCAAGTTCTCTCTCTGAAGCTGTGGCCCCAGCTCATGCCACCCCCAGCCGCACGAGGCTGCCTTTGTTCTACCTGCACCACGTGGCCTTCAGTGCCTCCCTGTGAAACGGGGCAGACAACCAAGGACCAGGCCGCTGGCATGGAAAGCAGACCCACTCCGACCCGAAAGGAGAAGGAGGTAGTGCAGGCAGCCATTGGCAATGTTCAAAAGGCTTGCGTCTTTGAAGCCACAGGGAGAGCATCAATTAAAACGTCAAGGGGAAAGTTGAAAGGGAAACTAGAGAAACTTTGCCAGATTGTAGGACAGGACAGAGAAGAAAGGAGATGAGTTGTGCAAGAATTGGAGGCACCTGGAGGGGGGCAGACTCCCCCCCCCCCCGCCTTGGAGAGGAGCAGGGGCAGGCGTGGTGGGAACAGAATCCTGTCTTAGCAGTGAAGCCCCACACGCGGAGGCTTAAAGCAGCGGAAATTCATCCTTCACAGTTGGGAGGCCAGAAGGCCGAAGTCTGGCGGAGCCACCCCCTCCAGAGGCTCCCGTGGAGGGTGCTTCCCGCCTCTTCCAGCTCCTGGGGGCTGCGGGCGTCCCTCTGCACCCTGGCCATGCAGCCTCTGCTCTCCCCTGTCTGCCTGCGTCTCCTCTCATAAGGACACTTGTCACTGGGTTAGGGCCACCCAATAATCCGAGATGACTTTCTTCTCTCCAGGCCTGTACCTTGATCTCAGCTGCAAAGACCCTTTATCCAAACTAGTTGCATTTGCTCATGGTGTAAGTAGGCGAGTTGTAGGAGGAAGTCAGAGATGATGTCAATCCGAGAACGGGAACGGGAGAAAGGGCATGTGAGTCCACACCAGGCGGTCTACACCAGCAGAGAGGAAGGAGTTGAGAGTGGCTATAGCAAAGTGAGGGCGGCAGACAGGGCAGGGCCAGGTCAGGAGCCCTGCTGTGCCAGCTGGCTCGTCAGATGCTACCTGTGACCTTGACGACTCTCTGAAGCTACCTGTACCTCCCGGCAGCTTGGCTTCCGTGCAGCGAGAGGCTTCAGGGCAGAGAGTTTGGTTCTCGCTCCTGGCTTCCAGGCTCCAGGGGCCCATGGCGTGCTGGTGCCCACCACACCCCGTATCTCCTTCTCTGTGCAGCGGCCCCGCAGCCGGTTCTGGCTCCTCAGACAAGGCCCGGCTGGAGGCGGCCCCCTTGGCCACTAGAGAGAAGATCCGGTCCAGGTTCCACGGCAGCCACGACCTGATCCACCGCCTGTTCGTCTGCATTTCAGGTGCGGCTGGGCCCGTGGTGAGGCGGGGCCTTGGGTGGGCGGGGCCTGGCTGAGGGTGGGCGGGGCCTTGGGCGGGCAGGGCCTGGCTGAGGTGGGCTGCACGGCTGGGTCGGGCCTCGGGTGTGGGCGGGGCATGACTGGGGTGGGCGGGGCCTGGCTGAGGGTGGGCCTTGGTGTGGGCGGGGCCTTGGTGTGGGCGGGGCCTAGCTGGGGTGAGCTGCGGGGGACCCTGCTGGGCAGGGTGCGGGGGTGCCCGGCCACAGGAGCACCCCCTCCCTACCATCTGGGGGTCTCCCCACAGTGCCATTCCATCATCCCCAAGCTCAGGAGGGAGGAAGGCTTCTCACTAGGGCCCCATCCGTGATTGGGGAGCCCACCCGGCTCCCATGGGGACCTCGGCCACCCACACAGGGAGGGAGGGTCTGTTTAGTTTGTGTACATCCTGCCTAGTTTTGTCTCCTCTGGGGATGGCTCCACAGCTGGGAGGAGAGGAGGGAGATGCCCGTTTTGTCTCCCCGGGGGAGTTCAGAGGGCCGTGAGCAAAAAGACGTCTTTTTAATGCTCCTCTTTAGTTTCGTGTGTTTAAAATAACCAACACATCCATGTGGTCCAAAAATATAAAAGTGCACGCTGAACGTCCCCCCCCACCTCCCGGTCGGGGCTCCTGAGTGCACTTCCCACCCCCTCCCTCCGGGTTCAGGGGTGCCTCCAGAGCGGGCTTCCCCGCAGCCTGCGCCACCAGGCCTGCTTAGCAGGAGTGCAGCCTGGGGGCTGGGGGTCCCTGCAGGATCTGGGCCATGACGGGGGTGTCCCGTACTGCCCAGAGCCCCCCAGGCACTGCCGAGCCAGTCCTCGTGGCACCAGGAGGACCCGGGTGACTCCGAGCTTGGCTTCACACGGCTGCCGGACGACCACACAGCTTTGTTTCGAGGTTTAGGGATATGGAGGCTGGCAGGTCGCCGATGCACAAAGCCTCCTCCGGAAGCGCTGCCTGCATCCCTGGGGCGGGTCCCTGGGCTCCCCGTCCTGGCGTGGTGCCCGCAGCTTTCCCCTCACGTTGCCATAAGTAGCAGCGGCTCTGCACCGAAGAGCTAACAGGGCCTCACTTTTCACTGAGAAATGGGCCTCACTGGGGGAAGGGGAGTCTTCCCTCGGGGAGGGAGAGCCCCACGCAGGGAGGAGGAGGGCTCTGCCATGGGGGGGGGGGGGGAAGCAGGGAAGGGCAGGGGGTCCGGCAGAGGGCAGGGCCCATCTGGGCTCCCGGCCACACGGAGCCCCTCTCGGAGCCCTGCCGTCAGGGGCACCTGGGGCAGCATCTGCCGGGGAAGGGGGCACGACTGGATGCACACGTGGCCGTGTCAGCGAAGGTGCTGCTGTGGGCCGTGGGCACAGTTCAGGGCCCTGGGGCCATCCCTCAGTGAGATGGTGACCACTCAGGAGTGGTGGCCGTGACCGCAAGGATAGAACGCGCGAGTGAGAATGAGCAGGGGCCCGTGGGGGGCTGTCTGTGTAGGCACCCCTCCACCGGCCTCCCCGTGACTCCTGAGCCGGGCGGCCTCTCTTGCCCCCACAAACCTGAGGCCGCAGCCAGCGGCGTGGAGCCCCCGGAGCGCCTCAGCCTGACGGCCTCCCGCTCTCCCAGGTGTGGCTGACCAGCTGCAGACCAACTATGCCAGTGACCTGAGGAGTATTCTTAAGACCCTTTTTGAGGTCATGGCCACCAAGCCAGAAGCAGACGACAAGGAGAAGTTAAAGAAGGGTGAGTGCCGCCCAGGGCATGTCCCCCACCCCAGGGATCCGCATCTCCTCACCCAGCTTCTGCACAACATGCCATATTCCAAACAGGAAGCACCCAGCACTGCCAGGCTCTCCTCTAGGGGGCATAGGGGCACAGGCCCCGGAAGTGCCGAGAGGCCACCTGCCCCATCGCTGGCAGCTTTGCAGGTGGCTCACAGCCCCACATGCACCAGCCTGTGCCCGCAGCACCTCCTGATCTCCCCCTGCATACGCTCCTGCAAGGTCACCCAGCTTCTTGGGGCCACCAGGCTGGGAGGGACGGTGCCCTTCCTCTTAAAGATGAGACCCAGACATGGCATAGAGTCACTTCTAGCAAATTCTGTCTTCCAAAGCAGTCCAGGGTCAGCCCAGAGTCGAGGAGACATAGGCCCCACCTCTCCACAGGGGAAGTGGCTGTTTATATCCTGGGGCCACATGGGACCTGCCTCACATATTTACACGTGCTCAATGCATCACGATGTAGACACACACCCTCACACGCACACACCTCATTACAGGGCGTCTGGGCACACCGGGCAGCCCCCCCCCCAACCCCTCCGTGGCCCCTCCTTGCTAGTGGGGAGCAGGAGCAGAGTCAGTCCTGTGTGCCCACCCAGCTCTGCCCCCCAGTAGTGCCATGCCGGGCTGCATGACCCCTGTTTGCCGGGGAATCCTGGGCAGGGTCGCCTTCTGAAGCATCACGTTCCGAAAAGATGGACAACATGGACCGCTTCTGCAAGCAAGGACAGTGGGCTCCTCGGCGCATGCCCAGGCCTGGTCCCCTGCCTGCCTCAGGGTTCACGGCCCAGGGTGACCTCTCCACAGGCACCGTGCGGGGGCCCTGGGGCTGGGGGAGGCCGCATGCCACCGGGCACTGAAGGTCCCTGCCGGGGCTGTGGTGACCCCACGCACTGTGGGGCTGCAGCTGAGGGGGAGCTGACCCCTGCCGGGGCTGTGGAGGCGGCAGTACCGGGCACAGGTGTCTGTGCATCAAACCCACCCCTCCCTTTGTCTTCCAGTCACCCAGAGCCTGCGGAGTGCGGCCTTAGAGGACTGTGCCCTGTGCCAGGAGACCCTGTCATCCTCTGAACTGGCAGCCAAAACCCGAGATGGAGACTTGGAAGGTGCGTGTGGAGTCTGGACCGGGGCCCAAGGTGCTGCGTGCTGGGCAGAGAGCAAGGACCCTGTCTGGACTGTCCCCCTGTCTGCCCTGGATACAGATCCACGAAGGCATCGCTTCCCCAACTGGGGGTCCCTCCCCTGAGGCCCTCTGGGCACGTAGCTCCCATGGGAAGGCTGCTCCCCACGCGAGCATCCCCTCCTCAGCCCCCGGGGTGGGCACACAGGCCCCCGGCTGGAGGCGGCTGGACTCAGGGCACAGGCACACACCTGTCCCCGCCTGCATTCCCCTGCTCCCCAGGAAGGGCCTCGAGGCGCAGCTTCCGGCACACTCTTCACAGGAGGCTGCGGGCTGCGCTCTGGTTATGTGGGAACCCTGAGCCCTTGCTACCCTGTTAGCTTGGAGGTCAGGCCTGCTGGGGGCCGGGCAGGGAGGGGGCGTCCAGAGTAGGTGGGGGCGCTGGCAGCACGTCTGTGGGGAGGGGCCGGGGACCTGGGAAGGGCGCGGAGGTGGATGGTGGCAAGCCTGACCAGGTGTCACGTGTGCGTGGAGCTGAGAAGGAGTTGAAAATTGGCCCCATTATGGGCCAGAGGCCACAGCCCTCCTGGTGTGCCAGGCTGGCTGGGCTGGCCCTGCCCGTCCCCGGCTCAGGGCCTCCCTGGGGGTGACAGAGGCTGTGGGGATGGGGTGCCTGGAGCAGGCACAAGCTCCCATCTCTTTCTAGAACACCAGACACAATGGTACAAAGCACCTGTAGCAGGAACTTGGAGCCCCTCTCCTCAGGAGGAGCGGAGGTGCTGAGCTGTGAGGTCTGGCTTGCCCAGTGTGCGGACAGGGCCGCACCCTCCCTGCTGGCTGGTGACCCAGACCCCCTCCTGGAAGGAGCACCTGCTGCCAGGGCCTGGACGCTGGTCCGAGGAGCGGGCAGCAGGCCCAGGAAGTCTTTGGGAAGTCACGGCCCTCCCCAGGAGAGGGTCTGTCCGAGCTGGTGGCCCTGGCCTCGCACGGCCCTCGGGGGCTAGCACTGCCTCTCGGGGTTTCCGTGGGGCCAGCCTGGGCCTTTTACACAGGGAGGGGTGGCAAGGAGAAATGACCTCCCTGCACTGAGGTGAGCTCACAGGGCCCAGAGTGGAAGCCGGGAGAGGTGGGTGGGAGGTAGTTTGGGGCCTGTGCGGCCCGGGGGGGCAGGGCAGGCCGGGAGGGAGGCCGGGAGGGAGGCCAGGCGACCCCAGGCCCTCCTTGGACAGCAGCCTTGCCGAGCTCTGTTTGGAGGTGCTGAGGGTGGGGCCAGGGGAGCAGGCCAGTGCCCACCTGGGCGTTGGGGATCGTGTGAGGCCGGACAGACCACCTCTGAGCACACCGTGGTCTGAGGGAGGGATCCCAGATGTCCTTCCCCTTGGCTGTTGGTGCTGGCCTGGTGTCTGAATGGGAGGAAAGCGCCTGTCTCGCTGTGTGGGAGCTCCCTTCTCCCCACGCTGACCTGTCTCCCACATCCCTGAGCAAACCTCCATGAGAGGCTTCCATCAGAGAGCATCTCTAGAAGTGAGACAGGATGGGCCCCACATCCGTGTGGAAGGAGGCCCCGGGCCCCAGCCTGGCCTGCACATGTGTCAGGGAGGGGGCGGGCGTCTGCCTGGGCTTCCGGGACCATCCGGACCCCAGAACTGCTCTGGAGCCAGGGGTGGGCAAGGCCAGGGTCCCCAGGGCCCCCACAGAGCGTGCCCAGAGTTGAGCTGGGGGCTGATTTCTTCATTTCTCAGCCGCCACCTCTGCCCAAGGGCCCTGCCAGGCTGGGTGCTGACAGAGAGAGGCTCCGGAGAGGGTCACTCCGAGGAACACCCCCTGCCCGTGTCCTCAACCCAGGTGGCCTGGCCCGTAGCTGGGGTCTGGCAAACAGGCACTGGCAACGGCTGCAAAGGCCCTGTCCGATTGATGCCTGCAATTTGCTGAGACTTAACCAGCACCTGGAGTCCAGGGGAGGGCCGGAGGGGAGGAGGGGGCCGCTGGGGCCCCCCACTTCAGCCCACCAGCTGCCACTGTCACCACTTCGTGGCTCCCACTGGCTGACGCGTACCCCACTTCTCATCCCAGATCCTCCAGAGTGGGTCCCAGATGAGGCCTGCGGCTTCTGTACCGCGTGCAAAGCGCCCTTCACCGTCATCCGCCGGAAGCACCACTGCCGAAGCTGCGGGAAGGTAAGGGGCGTGGCGGCCAGAGGTTGTGCCCGCAGCCCCAGGGACGGTGGCCAGGGTCATCCCCAGGGGCCAGCCACGGGATCTGGGAGTCAGGACTGACACCCCAGGGCACTGGTGAGGCCTTTGGGGTCCCCGTCCCTGAGCCCTGGGCCCTGCTCTGACTTGGCCCAGGGTGAGGGCTCTAGGCACTCGGCCCACAGGGTCCCGGGGGTGCGGCGTCCAGCCCCCCGCCGCTTCAGAGCTGGGGACAGGGAGGGAAAGAGGGTCTGGACAGGAGCCTGCAGCTCAGAGTAGGGCTGGGAGCCTCCCTCCGTGAGCCTGGCCTCCGGAGGCCATGACCCACCCCAGGCTTCTCCGAAGGCCCTGACCGCCCGCAGAGCCTCGCCCCCTGACCCCCTGCCCTGTCGCGGAGGGGAGGCGTGGGAACCGCTGGGGTCGGGAGGGGTGAGACAAGGGGGGCAGGCTGGCTTGCTGGGCACCCAGGCTCACCGGGCCCTCCTGCCCGCCCCTCAAATTCCAGATCTTCTGCTCCCGCTGCTCCTCCCACTCTGCGCCGCTGCCCCGCTACGGGCAGGTGAAGCCGGTGCGCGTGTGCACGCACTGCTACATGTTCCACGTCACACCCTTCTACAGCGACAGGGCGGGCATGTGAGGCGCTCCCCACACCTGCCGGGGCCCAGGGTCCCCGAGGGAGGGGCGCCGCTGGCTGCAGGAGGGTCTCCACTGCATTTCATCAAGCTGCCGCCACCACTGCAGGAGGCTGCAGGACGCCCAGGCTTCCAGAACGTCCCGCCCCTCCGTCCCTCCACCCCGGCCTCCCCACCGGCAGGGACCCCAGCCAGCTGCAGGGGCCCACGGGAGGTCGGCCCCAGGCCGTGAGGACACCCCGGGCTGCCGGGTAGCTGCCTGGGCAGGGGTGGGCTCTCCTTCCGCCTGCCCCCTGCCGCCCCAGCCCTCCACCCCCTGCCCCCTGCCCCTGGCCGGGGCCTGCTGAGCTGCTCAGCCATACTAGAAGGCCTACTCAGAGCCGGCTCTTGACCAACCAGGTGGCACTGCACCCGGGGCTAAACCCTGGGCTGACGGTGGACGCGTCCGGGAGAACGGCAGCCTCGGCACCCCCACAGGGCTTCCCCACGCGCTGCCCACTCTTTCTCTCTGCCCCGAGCGCGCAGCGCCCACCTCATTCTCCAGCGCCGCCTCTCCCACGGCCAAACAGCAGGCATCTTGTTCATCCTCGAAGGGGGAGACGCAGACGCACAGCCAGGTCTTCTGGGCGCGCAGGCATGTCCCTGCCGGTGTGTGCCCCCCGCTGCTGACCGATGGGGGCCGGCCAGCTGCCTGCACAGCACCGGGACCCAGTCCCCCAGGGTCTTGGGCCCTGGCCCGCGGGGTCTGAGGACCACCAGATGTCACTCACCTGCTGCCACTTCCCTCTTCCCTCAGACCCCTCGCCCCGGGGACCCTGGCCCACCTCCTCAGACCCCAGAGCGGCCCAGCATCCAGGCGGAGGCAGCCAGGGGGCCCCAGCACGGACACCTCAGGCTTAAATCTCAGGCTTCACATTGCAGTGAGGATTGCAGCTTTATTTTTAGAGAGACGCTAACTACTGCTTCTTTTATAAGAAAATCCGACTACTGCTGAACAGTGTGTACACATGCACAGAAACGGCTTCTGGGGGGGAGAGTATATAATGGAGGGAATATTATGTATTGAGATTATTTTTATTTTCTAAATGCTGTAATTCGAAGCCATTTCCATAAATCTATTTAAGGATTGCAGACACTTGTTTCTGGTGTGAACGTGGACTTCTTTTTCTGGGTCCGGGAAGCAATGGTGTTCTCGCCTTCTTCCCTAGGAGGCTTGGGGCTTCTGCATTCTTGGGGAAATTGAAGCCTGGAGAAGAAGGGTGGCCAGCCTGCACCCCCTAAAGCCCCACCCCATGCCCTACGAGGGTTCCGGGGTCTCCACTGCCTGCCCACTTGCCCAGCCCCTTTCCTCATGTGTCTTCGGCTCAGACCCCTGGCCTGTACGTGTGTTGGGGGGTGGGTGCTCTCGGACACTCCACCTTGGAGCCCTCCCCACATGGTCCAGGTCGGGACCACCCACCCACCTGGGGTTGCCATGGCAACGGGGCCTTCCTCTGCTCTTAGAGGTGGATCCCTTGGGAATTGAGTGCCCAGTCCCTTGGAGGTGGACACTGGGACCCCAGAGAATGGAGAGATGGTTGTGAGAAACCCCAGTGGCCACCGGGTCCACTTTTTTCCTGAGTCGGAAGAGAGTTTAGAATTTGGGGACTCCCTAGGGTCACTCTTGCGTCCTTCAGGACTAGAAGAGAAGGGATGTCCAGGGGGACCTGGACCTTGGCTGCCCAAGTCTGGGCCTCATCCCCTGCCCACCTGGACAGAGTCCCTCCTACCCTGTGGGTGGCTGAGCTGTGTCACTGGCTAGACAATGGAGACTTCTGGAAGGTCAGCTGCCTGGAGAAGGCAACCTCTGCGCCAGCCAGGAAGTCTGCCCCCTACAGGGAGCCCTCTATGAAGAGACACCGTGGGGTCCCCCTTCCTCTCCTCAACAGGCACCCACAGTGTCATCTTCCAGACTTAAAACATGGTGGCCTCCTTATTCACCAGGTCAGGCTGAGAGGCGTGGAGACCCAGGAAAGACGGTCTGTCCACCGTTGGCACAGACAGAGCTGCCCCTCCAGAGGGAGAGGCCTGGGCCCCAGGGAGATGGGGAGGTTCTGGATGTGGCCTGGGGCCAGGAAGCCTGCCACGCCAGGTTTGGCCTGCCCCTGTGCATCCCTCCCCCGAGCTGCCCTGCAGGAAGGTTCTGGGGCCATGGGAGCCACCAGTAAGGGTGACTAGCTGTACCTTGTGTTCAGGAATGAGAGTCTGAGTCATGAGCCTTTCCGTGTGAAACTGGAGATTTGTGGTCACTCTACCCTTTTACAGGGCTATTCACACCCCAAGAGCAGAGCCAAGACCTGGGAGTGGGAAGGGGATTAGTCCAACACTAAGTTTCCTACTCAGGAAGGTTCTAGAAGGAATGGTCTGCTGCCCACCCACAGTTGAGGCTCAAGACTGGGAGACCTTGGGAACAGGGACAGGTAGAGAGAGATGAGCTCCAGATTTGGAGTCAGCCCTTCAAGCTGGCTTGGGCCCCAGTTCCCCTCTGCACCATCATTCTGTCCTTCCTGCTACCGTTTTCTGGGCACTGTCCCCTCTACTCCCCTCGACAATCCCCAGGGGGCAGGATCTCTGTGTCATAGATGGAGAAACTGAGGCTCAGGATGTTGGTAGACATTGTTAGCTTTTAGGAGGGGCACACGAGAGGCGGAAGCAGAGGGCGCTGTGACTGTCCCAGCTGGCTGTGCCTGGAGACCCCTCCCGAGGCAGGTGTGGAGACAGGGCTCGGCCGGCGTCCGCGCGCCCACAGCAGGCCCCGTCTGGCCTCAGGGAGGGCAGGGGGCTGCAGGAGCTGGGTGCACCTGGGTCTGGCTTGCCCACCTCCCCTCTCCCGGGCTATGCACAGGCCCTGGGAAGAAGGCCTTCTGTGCACCCCAACGCCACCACCCCAAGCTTCTGGCAACAGGCGGGGTCACAGGGACTCAGGACCCAGACGCAGTCTGCAGGCCACCAAGGCGGAGGATGGAGGGCCTGGGCAGAGCACCCAAAGCTCTGTGCTCATGGGGCCTCAGGGAGGAAGCATGAAGATGGGGGCAAGGGACGCCCCACCTGGCCCTGCCCCCCCCCCACAGTGGGCTCGGCTCATCCAGTGCTCCCCCCTCCCACCCCTACAAATCCTGGCCTCTGGAGGTGCCCTGCTGCCCGACCCCACTTGTGGCTCATCCGTCCCCACAAACATGCCCAGGGACAGCCAGCCGGCCCTCAGGCCTGGCCCGCCTCCCCTGGACACGCGGGCGGGCAGCCCCCCACACCAGCCGTGTGGGCCCGGTGTTCCCGCCGCTGGTGAAGACGATGGAACAACAGAATCCCGGGAAGCCAAGGGGAGGGTGGATGCGTGTGCTCCCTTTCTCCTTGGGCCAGGACCGCGCCCCCTCCAGGGTCCCTGCTGTAGCCCCTAATGGCCACCAGGGGGCGCCCCCACCCTGCCGCCTGCTCTCCCAGTGAGGCCGGGTGCCAGGACAGTGGGGGCGACTGCAGCGCTGCCTGCAGGGGTGAGGAGGGGCCAGAGAGGGCCCCGGGCAGGACAAACCACATCCCAGCGAGGTCTGCGATGGGGGAACAGGGGTCCTGCTTGGAGCTGGACGTCTCAGACCACCCGGGTTGGGGCTGGGGGCTGATAGCATCATGGGGGGGGGGTGGCTTCTTGGCCATTCCTGGCTCTTCCTGTTCCCTGGACTCTGCAGTGGGAGCTGAGGGAAGGCGGGCAGGATCCAAGGTGCCTGCCCCATGCCACCCCCATGACCCAGAGTCCTGGAGGCGTTAATCTCCTCAGAGGCCTACCCAAAGCCACCTCCTCCAGGCAGCCTTCCTAGACTGCAGCATGCCCCCTCCCCCCCACACACATATTCTCAGGGCAGAGTCTGGGGTCTCCTTGCAGGAGTCGACAAAACTCTCCTGCCTCTGAGACTTGGCGGAAGGGCAGATTCCAGCACCGAGCAGTCACTCAAAGTTAATGTCATTCCCAAGACTTAAACACACAAGCAAGGCTTTGCGTTCTGCTGGTGTGGTCAGGGTAGCTCAGGCTGGAGCCTGCACCTGACCTGGGCAAAGATGGGCACACAGACACTCCAGGCCTTCCCTGCCCTGGGGGGCCTGCAGGTCCGGAGCGGGGCTACGTGAGCAGGTTGCCCCCTAGGCCTGCATTGTGATAGCTCTGCCCGCGCTGGGTCCTGGCCCTTCTGCCCCTAGTTCATGGGCCACTTCTCTCCTCACTCCCCCCCACCCCGGTCTGCACCGAGGTGCCACCCACCCTCACCGGGAGCGTGGAGCCACTGGGGAGTGCCTGGTCCTAGGTGCTGCCGGGAGAGGGGCCCCTGAAACGGCCTAGCGGAAGACAGAGGCAAGGCAGGGCCACCCCGCCCCCTCAGGCTGGGATGCGGTGTGCCGTGCGCCGCACAGTCCCACCTGGCCACCGGCCCTGCCAGCGGTGGCACAGAACACCCCTCCCGCCCCGCGGCGGTTCGCAGGGGGGCGTCCAGCAGGGCGCTCGCCCTCAGCACGGTGCCGGCTCGGATCGGGGCCAGTAACGCTCTTCACGTAAGCGGGGCTGACGGGACTGCAAAATCCCAGCCGCCAGGTGGCGAGCCCGGGGTTCCGCCGCCCAGGCCCCCAGGCCTGAATGCATCCGCCGCTCCCGAGCCGGGCGCCCTGCTTTATCCTGCACAGCTCTCAGGGGCTCTGCCCTGGTCCTGGGGCAGCTGGGGCAGGAGCAGGAAAGGCTGGGGTAACATCCAGGGGCTGTTTTAAGCGTCCACGCGGGGCTGTCTAAGGGCAGGGTCGAGGGCCCGGCTGGGTCCTGCCGAGCGCTGCGGGGGTTCGGCGGGGAGGACCGCACACCCCTAACCCCGTTTCCCTGATCACACAGCTGTGGCTCTCACCCCCAGCGAGTAGCGTTAGGTCAGGGGTGGCGGGTCTTCCTGCTCCCGTGTCACCAGGCCTGGGTCGCATTTACGGGAGCACGAGCACCCACGCCGCTGGGATTGCGAGGGGACACTAGGCGGCCCCTAAACCTCAGGTTCCCTGAACCGTAAATGGGGGATTCAGAAATGCACAAGGAAATGGTGCATAAAACATCCAACAGATCCTGGGACACCAAGTGCTGAGATTTTTACAGTTTTCGCTCTGTTTCACTGGCAGCAGCAATGCCGCATTTTGAAGACTGGGCAGGGTCAGGGCAGCGGTCCAGCCACCCTATCCGCACACTCTCCAGCCTGGCGGCCCCTCCTCGGGAGTGCCCAGGCCGCCAGTCTGAACAGCCGGTGAGAAGGAAGACCAAGGGGAGCCGAGGCCAGTCTGCGGCTGCCTCCGGGCTGCCCGTCCTACCGGCGGCCTGGAGTCAGGGGCCATTAGGGCTCCGCCCCCAAGAAGGGCAACTCTGTTCCCTAGAAAGCGCTTCCTTGGAATGTCCCCGCTTCAGACCAGACAGGAGCGTGCAGCCCTCCACCCTTGGGAGCCCTGGGGACCGCGGCGGCAGATCCCTGCCCCCTTCCTCAGGCCTGGGGTCCACTGGGCAGCTCTGAGGGGCCCTCCCTCTCCGGGTCTCTGCCCGTTGAGACGTGGCTCTTGGGCTCTGACCCTCTGCGTCCCTCCGCCAAGCTCCGGCCTCTCCTGGGGTCACTCTGTGTCCGGCAGGAAGCGGTGTCGCTTTGCAGCCCGCGAGACACCCCCGAAGCGACCTCGAGGACCGGTGCTGCCGCGGAGCCGGTGCCGCGGCTGTTCCGGGGCAACAGGTCCCTGCAGGCGCCACGCAGCCCCGCGGACGGGCCGGGCGCGGACGCCTCCCGCTGCCCCGCCGGCCCAGGGGCGCTGGCCCGGCGGCTTCCTCTCGGCAACGCGTCCGGCCGCGGCGCCCCCATTGGCCGCGCGCCCCTCGGGCGGCCATTGGTCCGCGGTCCCTATTTTACATAGACCGCTCTGGGCCAATCGGCGCGTGGCGCCTACTTATCATGCACGCCGGCCGCCAGTCAGCGAGCGCGGGGGCCGGGCCACCACGTGCTGTTGCTAAGCTTGGGCTTCTAAATTGTTACTAGCGCGGCGGGCCTATCGGAACCGAGCTTCGCATCTGTCAACATTCTCGGCCCGGCCCGAGGCGTTCGGCCAGCTCCCATTGGCCCCGGCCCGGCCCAGCGCCCGCCCCCGGAGCCGGAGCGCCGGCCCCCATTGGCTCCGTCGGCCGCCGCTCGCCCTTATGTGTCAATTTGAGGGCCCGAGGCGGAGGGTGGCGGCGGAGCGCGCAGGGAGCCCGCGGGAGTCGGGGAAGTGGGGCCGCCGGGCGCGCGGGGCGGGCGGCTAGCGGAGCCGGCCGGAGAGGGCCGGGCAGCGGCCGCCGCCGTCCCGGGGCGCGCGGGCGGGCGCGGGCGGCGGGAGGATGGAGCTCAATTCCCTGCTGATCCTGCTGGAGGCGGCCGAGTACCTGGAGCGCAGGGACCGAGGTAGCGCCCGCGCCCCTTTGTGCGCCGGGCCGCGGGCGGGCGGGCGGCGGCGGCGGGGCCGGGGCCGGGGCGGGGGCCCGCTGACCGCGCCGTCTGTCCGCAGAGGCCGAGCACGGCTACGCCTCGGTGCTGCCCTTCGACGGCGACTTCGCCAGGAAGAAGACAAAGGCGGCCGGCCTGGTGCGCAAGGCCCCGAACAACAGGTACCGCCCCCCCACCCCCCGCGCGGCCGCCCCCACCCCCACCCTCGCCGCCCGGCCTGGCGCCCGGGCTCGCACCCCCGGGGCGCCCTCCCGCGGCCCCGACCCCAGGTCCGCAGCCCGGCCGCGGCCGCGCGCCCCGGCGGCCAGCCTGGAGGAGGAGGCGCGCCCGGGCCGCGGCCGCAGCCCCGCCCGGCCGGCCCCGCCCGCGCCGTCGCCATCTTCCCGCGGGCCGCGCCTCCTCGGCCTCTCGCGTAAACAGTGCCACGCGTACAGCGCCAGGCGCTCGGGGTCTCCTCCCGCAGCCGCTCCCGGCTCCCAAGTTGTTCTGGACTTTTCCGGTCAGGAAAAAAGTTGTCAGTGGGCGCTGGCCGGTGCCCCCGCGAGTCCGGGGAAACTGAGGCTCGGTGCAGAGCAGCGTGGGACTGTCCGCCCCGACCTCTGCCCGCTGCGGGTGGGTGGGCCGCACCTCCCCGGCGGCCGAGCTGAGGACCCCGTACCCCTAGGGGCCTAGACAAAGAGGGCGCCTGGAGGCCCTGCCCCGGGCCCCCCACCCGCCCCACCGCCCCTGCCCCACTCCTGACGTGAGGGAAAGTGCAGCGACAAGTGTAGGGTCCCCTTCTTTGGGACAGGAGGCCTTTTTTAAGGGGGGCCGGAAGAGGCGCGGGCCGCTGTGCAGCAGCCCTCCGGGTGCCAGCCATCCCCACCCCCTCCCCTGGCCTCGTTCCCAGGCTGTGGAAGCGCAAAGCCGGGTCCACGTCCCTGCGGGAGCGTGGGGACCCTGAGCTAGGGCTCCCACGGGCTTCCCCTTCCCCGCTGCGGCGAGGGCCACAGCGCAGCTGGCACTGCCCGGGGGCCGCTTGGCTCGGCCCGTGTCACGCTCCGGGAGCTGCGCTTGCGGGGGGCTTGGGGGCCCCTTGGCAGAGGGTGCGGCTCATTCCTGTGGCCGGCCTGTTCTTGGGAAACAGAAAGGCTGGCACAGGGACCCATCTCCTGTGACGTCCTGGCGCCCCGGGCCGGGCCTGGCACGGAATCGGCTGAGTCTCCATCTGCCCTGGCTGGTGAGCCTCTGAGCCCCAGCCCCCGGTCCCCTGCTGAGGACAGTTTGGGAAGGGATATGTGAAGGGGGGCGCCGCTGCCTCCGGCCTCCTCCTCGGGGAGCCAGCCAGGCCCCTGCTGTTGGCTCTCACTGCCCCCGGTGCCGCGGCACCCCTGGAGAACTCCAGCACGTGACCTTGGACTCCCATGGGGTACCCAAAGGTGATAACCAGAATTCTAGCTAAGCTTCTTTGAGGAGGGCTCCTTACGTCCAGAGTAGTTCACGTAGGTGCTAATGTTCACCCGACCCATGAAGGAGGTGTTATTTTTATCCCCGTTGTGAGGCTGAGGAAACTGAGGCAGAGAGCAATTGAATTACTTGCTTGGCCCCCACCCACCCCAGTCCCGTCTCTGGGACTCCCCTCTGAAGTGGGGTCCTGGCCTCCTACATCCTGCCAGGATGGAGACGCTGAGGGCGCTGGGAAGGGACCGAGAGGGTCTCCCGGGCTGCGGTGCACCTCCCTGCCGCCCCTCTGGGCAGGGCCTGCCTCTCCCGGGTCTGGGGCTCCCGGTGATGGCCGCAGCCAGCCCAGCCCAGAGCCGGAGGCAGAGCAGGGCCCGGAGGCTCCCTTCAGGGCAGGGCAGTCCCACCCTTCGAGGCCTCTGTGCCCCACCAAGGTGAGGGAAAACGATGGGCACTGCGGGGACCGGGGTGAGGGGTGAGTAGTGGGGCAGGAGGGTGACGTGTGTGGGGACGGCCCACAGTTGCCAGGACTCCAGGAAGGGCTTCTGAGAACAGCGTTTCAGCAGGAGGGCACTGGAGCCAGCCTGCCGGGGCTCGGGCCTTACAGGGACGTGGGTAGAGGAGTATCTGCCTGGAGGGGTTGATGCGGGGTGTGAACCACTGACGCCAGGAATGTGCTCAGCAAAGCCCCAGCCACGGCCCCCCCCACCCCCAGCCCCAGTGCGAGGCATGCCTGGGACCCACACGGCCCCCCCAGGAGGCTAGCACAGGTGTCTGGGCCTGGGAGGAGCCCCAGGCAGGGCTCTGGGCCCCTCTCCGTACTCCCGGCTAGCCCAGGAGTGTCCCGCTCCCTCCAGGATGGGGTCCAGCCCAGACTGTGAGGGGGTGGCCAGGCCGGTTTCCCTACACTGAGGGACACTCGCTGAGCCTTATGTCCTGTGCACGTGGGCAGACCTCAAGACCCGCGCTGGCGGGCTGTGGTTCGGGCGTCGAGTAGCCTGACGGCTGTGCTCCCTCCCGGCCCTGGCCGGCCCTGGCAGGAGCTCCGAAGCTCCTTGCCCAGCCCGTGTGACCAGCAGGCCCCTGAGGCCCCCAGAACCCAGGTCTGGAGGCTCTCCTCAAGCTGCACAGGGCGGCCCAGGGGCAGAGGGGAGGCCTTGGGCCCCAACTGACTTTTTTTTTTTTTAATGTTTTATTTATTTCTAGGAGAGAGAGAGAGAGACAGCGTGAGCAGGGGAGGGTCAGAGAGAGAGGGAGTCACAGACTGAAACAGGCTCCAGGCTCCGAGCTGGCAGTCAGCACAGAGCCCGACGCGGGGCTCTAACCCACGAACCGCGAGATCATGACCCGAGCGAAAGTCGGACGCTTAACCGACTAAGCCACCCAGGCGCCCCTTGATTTCTTTCCTCAACTGAATGGAGGCTTTCTTTCTTTTTTTTTAATGTTTTATTTATTTCTGAGAGAGAGAGAGAGACAGCATGAGCAGGGGAGGGTCAGAGAGAGAGGGAGACACAGAATCCAAAGCAGGCTCCAGGCTCCGAGCTGGCAGTCAGCACAGAGCCCGACGCGGGGCTCGAACCCACGAACCGCGAGATCATGACCCGAGCGAAAGTCGGACGCTTAACCGACTAAGCCACCCAGGCGCCCCGGGCCCCAACTGACTTTGATGGGGCCATGACCCGTGCTGTGGCAGAGGCAGGAAGGATGGGCAGGCACTCCGGCTGGCGGGGTGGGGACGGGAGACACCTAATCCTGAGTTCCTAGAGCAGGGGAGTGAGGGCAGGCAGGCAGAGGTCAGCAGAAGCTCCCGGAAGGGGTGAAGGGTGGGGGACACAGGACCTAACCTGGGTGTGCCCGGAGGTGGCTGGGGCCCTCTGCTCACATGGGAGGTAGCCTAGAAGCCCCGGAGTCCCGGCTGTCCATGGGCCCCCGCCTGGACTGGGAGAATGATCTAGAACTGGGAGACTGGCCCTGTTGCATTACTGCTCTGTAGGGCAGATGTGGTGGTAGTGCCCACTGGGGTGCTCAGGACTCTATACTCCTGTCTGAATGGGCCAGACGGGCAGGGCTCGATCAGCAGATGGGGCCACTGTTCCCAGAGAGGCCAAGACCATGGCTCCAGAGGGAAGCAGAAAGGCCAGCCTCGGTCCCCTCCTGCCCACGGGCCCAGGAAGCATCCAAGTATCAGAGGTATCCTTGTGGGCTGAGCTCTCTCGGGCTGGATTTACTCTGCCCCTTGGTGTCCCTGCTGATATGAGCTGTGATCTTGCAGGTGGGAGAGCCCAACACAGTGAGGATGTTGCTGTAGCTGGGGTTGTCAGGACAGGGCCCCCCCGCATCCTGAAGTCCTGGCCTCTGCTCACCTGCAGCTGGGTCTCCTGTGGCTCCAGAGCCACCACTGGCTTCCAGGCGTGTGGGGCGGAGAAGGCTGGTGGCTTAGTGCCTGAGAAGCCTTGGGAGCACAGGATGGGTCAGTCCTAGAACCTTCTGAAAGGGGTCCCGGACCTTCCTGCTAGCAAGAGCCCCCACATGCCTCACTAAGTAAGTCAGGTAGTCCTGGGCACCTCTGGACGTGACCGCACCTCTGTGTCTCCTGTCCTTGTCACTCAGTGCGAGGGCCCCCCAGCCTTTGGTCAGCAGCTGCTCACCTGCCTGGCCCTCCCCATCCCAGGCCATCCTGGGACCCACACCCTCGCTGCCTCCATCTGTAGGTTCCTGAGTCCCTGAGTCGAGCTGTCTGTCATTCTTGTGCTTTGGTGGTCAGCAGAGTGAGCTCTGTCTTTCTGTCTCTCTAAACAGGTCTTCACACAATGAACTAGAAAAGCACAGGTAAGTGATCCCCCGTGCCCCACCCCCAGGCCCCACCTTGGCCGCCTAACTGCCTAACTCCTCCATCCTCCCTCTCCTTCCTTCGGCTGAAGGCGAGCTGCAGCCCAGCGGCACCGCATCCCACCTGCTGTGCCCTGGGTGTGGCTGTGCCCTTGCCTGGGAAGGGTCAGTCTTGAAGGAAGACTCAGGCTCTGGTCTTAGGCACTCCCATGGGGCAGGCAGAGACTGGAGCTCAGGCCCTGGTCGTGGAAACTTGGGTTGGGGTGAGGGGCCGGGGGCAGGGCCCCTGTGCTATGTGGCAGTCAGGGTCAGCTCTCTGGAGGAGGAGATCCATCTAATTTGGGGCATCTGTTCCCTTTGGGAGCAGCTTTTGAGCCCTCAGGATGCTGGCCTCCAACAGGAGGGTTCAGCCCTCTCAGTCTGGGGTCCCTTGCACCCTGGGGTGTGCCTTCCAAGGAGCTCCTACTGGTCTTATCTGGGGGCGGTGGGAAGGGCAGCCGGGCTCTGGCCCCAGGCAGGGTCCAGGGGAGCCCGCGTCATGCCCACCCGTCAGCTGCAGGGCCCAGTCTGCTACGGCTCCTCAGAGGAGTGGCTCCCTCAGTGGGAGGGCTTGGGGTGGGAAGCAGGGAAGGGCAGCATAGCTGGCCCAGGTTGGCCCCAGGGCCCCCCAGCCGCCCCCAGCCTGGGTACTGCAGGCCTCGCTGCACCCTTGGGGGCTCCACGGCTCTGCACCTTCTCTGCCGTAGGGACCGACGCGGGCAGGCTGGGCCAACAGGTAGCCAAAGCCTCGCAGCTGGTCTCAGCAGGGTGGGGCGGCTGTGGGTGAAATGGGCCAGTTCTTTCCTCCCTTCTTGGGTCAGTGTTGGGTGCGGGGTGAGGGGGGACTTCTGTATACAAGGTGAACTGTTCCCCACCCGCCTGCCGGGACGCCCACGGCAGCGCCAGCTTCCTCTCCCCTGGGATCTGACCCTCGGCCGGGTGGGCGCTGGGCAGGGACGGGACACTGTGTTCTTTGGAGGAACCGTACTTCCTGGACTGGTCCTGGTGATTGAGGGGCTCCTGAGAGACTGGAGGTGGGGCAGGTGCGGGGCCCTGGGGTTGCTCCCAGGCTGGAAGACACGGCCGGCCTCACTGGGACCGGGGAGCCTGGACAGGCATGTGGGGGCGTTCTGGAGAGGGCTTCCTGGGGGTGGTGTCTGGGAAAACAGCCCCGCTGTTGAGACAGAGGGGACGGCACTAGGGAGGATGGTGGCAAGGGATGGCTGCCACGGAGGAGGACACGTCGCTAGCCTTTGACCCCTACAACTGCCCCTTGGCCTTGGCCTCCGTCACCTCCCAAAGCCCACCCCTAGGCTGGGCCTCGTGGGGCTCTTTGGAGACACCGAGGCAGGACAGACGGGTGGCCTGAGGTCTGTGTACGCCCCCCATCCCAGTGCGGGGTGTGTGTTCCTGGCCGGCCATGAGGGGCCCACAGGCTTGGAGCCTGGTCCTGGGCAGGATCCGGGTCTGGGCTGCACCTGTGCTGACGCTGGGTGCTCCTGGCCGCTGGCCACGGGAGGGAACGGAGCAGCTGGCTGGGTCACCGGCCCGCGCGGTGCCCTACCTGGAGGTGTGCCTGTGTCCGGGGCGTCCCCGGGGGTGTTCTTCGAGCCAGCCCCACCCCCACCCCTGTTCCTTCCTCTTCCTCCCTTCTTCTCCCATGGAAAGCCACTCTAGTGCTCTGCTCCTGACCCCAGGCCTGGGGCTCATGGAAGTCAGGCGTTTCTTGGCAGGGTGACCCCCCGCCCCCCCGTGCAGCTCCAGATGTTAGGTTTTGTGTGTGGGGGTCCCTCTGCGGGGCCGCCCTGTGTGCCTGACGCAGTGGCTCCCAGTCTCTAGAAACCGTACACCTGGAAGGCGTGGGAGCACACACGGGGCACCCCTGCTCCTCATCACACCTGCTGCGGGAGCCACAGTTCAGGGCCTTTCCTTGCTGCCTCTTCTCGGCCTGCCGGGCCTGGGGTGGCCCCGAGCGTCGCCCTGCAGAGCCGGGCCCCTGCCCCTCAGGTGCCGGGGGGGGGCAGGTGGCACGGGAGCCCCGGGTCTTCCTCTGAGGAGCAGGGGCTTGTGGTGAGAAGCGGGGAAGGGCCTGGGTCGAGAGCCGGGCTGTGGCCGCCAGAGACCGAGCTGCCGTGCCGTTAACACGACTGCAGTGACCCCCAGAGGCGAGTTCTGCCCCAGAATCCACACAGGGTTCCTTCAGGAAGTGGTGAATTTTCAAAGCTCCCAGGAATGCCGGGGCCAGCCGCGGGGCCCCCCAAGGTGGGCTGCAGGGCCCTGGCACCCCCTCTGGCTCCAGAGAGGTCGTGGGGAAGCCCGCTCCCCACAGGGGTGGGCGTGGGGAACCTGCCCCCCCCCCCCCCCCCCCCCCCCCCCCCCCCCCCCCCCCCCGGCCGCCGTCCTGGCCCAGCGCTCCTCCGAGCAGGCTGGGCGCGCCGTCCGGGTAGGCGCTGCAGGTGCGGTCCCGCGGGCTCTCCCTGCCTCTGGAGAAGCCTCTGCCTTGGGAGTTCTAAAGCAGTCTGTCCACGGTCATCACAGATGCTCGTGGGCCTCCCCGGGCCCCCCTCCGCGTCCGCCACCCGGCCGCCCCTGCACCCTCCTCCTCCTCCCCACGGATGCTAACTTGGATGAGACCCTGTCATCCCCTCGTTCATAACTTGACCTGACACCTGACACCACGTGAGCGTCCACCTGTATCACATTCCCCTCCGCCTCCTGGTCCCGGCGCCTGCACGGGCACTCGGCCGCGCTGCCTGCGCTCGCAGCGGGGGCCCTCTGGTTGACGCAGGCCGGGCCACAGCGAGCATCTTTGCATACGTGGGGGGCAGTTTGGTGGGACCCCAGTCCTGCAAGTGCAGGTGCTGGTCCAGAGTTTGGGTCGCTGCAGCGGCCCTCCGCGCTTCGTCCCTGTTCACTCCCCCACCAACGGAACGCGGGTGGGCCCCGCGCTGGCCCGAGAGCCGGCCAGTCCTTTCCAGTCCGGCCGGACCCCGCCCGCCTGCCTGCTCCTCCTTTCCTAGAGCAGGGGGTGGGGGGGAGACCGACTTGGTTTTGTGCTAGCTTAGCGGTCAGTGTTCTGCAACTTGCCTGTTTGTGTCCTTTGCCCGTTTTCCACATTCAGGTATTCCTCTCTTTATTTTTGATGTGTATGAGCCCAAAATGTCATGAATACTAACCGTTTGTCTTTTATGTGTATCGCAGATACTTTCCCACTGTTGTCTGTCTTTCGGCTGTGTTTTTTCTTTCTTGTACAAATGTCTCTTTCTGATTGTAAAAGTGATATGTGGTGTTTTTTTTTTTTTTTAGCATAGAAAACTTGGACAATACAAAAACAAATAACTTAAAAAACACAAACCGTAAAGCCAAAAAATAAACGTTGCCAACCGCATCACCTGGAGACGCGTGCTTCCTGCTCTTCATTGTGTCTTGTTGAGTCTCTTGTGTGCGTCTGCTGTTTTATTTTTTTTTAAACAATATTGGGTGACTTGTCACACACGTGGTTCCGTACGCTGACATTGTCCCTGAGCGTTCGTGATGCAAGAATGTAGAGCACGCTGAAAGGGCGTATGGTTGTCTCTCGGCGGTGGAGTTTGGGCTACAATTTGCTGATTGGCAGTTTCTGATTTGCACAAAGATCACGTGCTGCTTATGTAACTACGCAGCGGATTGTGAGAATTGCCATTTGCTCTAGAGCAGGTGGACAAGGGGACCCCACTGGTGAACGTAGCTTGGGGGGCGGGACAGGAGGGTCCCCGGGGGGAGGGTGGCGCTGTCGTTGCCAGACCCCTCCCGGAGCACAGAGTGCAGTGTGCAGCCTGCCCCGCTGTTCCTGGCCCCGTTTCAGGCAGGGCAGCGGGGATGCTCTCCCCGCTCGGAGGTGAGGGAGCAGAGGTCCCTGGACTCAGGGGGTCGCGCATGCCCCCTTCCCCAGCCCCGGGTCCGTGTGGAGGTGGGTGCTCATCTCTGAAGGTCCTCTGGCCTCCAGGCAGAACGTGGGGCTGCTCCACATGTAGGTCCCCGGTGCCCGGGCTGCTCAGGTCCTCGCCCTGTGTGGCTTCGTGGCAGAGCACAGCCTCGGCCCTGTCCCAGAAGTTCTTCCTAACTCAGGCCCACCTGGACCACCCTAGGTCCTGGGTGCTGTGGGCTGAGGTACGGGGTGGGGAGGTGCCCAATCAGTGGGGGTGCTGTGTGGACACGGGTGGCAGATGAAGGGCCATGGGGTCCACGTGCAGCCAGCCTTCCTCTTGTGGGGCGGGGCTGTTCGTCGCCGCTCTGCAGAGGGGGTCCTGCCCTGCACCCAGCTGCCCCCTCTCTCCCCAGGCCTTGGATGCCCCTCAGTCCAGAAGAAGTGGCCATCCCTGCCCACTTCCCTCCTGGGTTCCCTAAGGCTAAGCAAGGCTGTGGCACATAGGGGACAGAGGTGAAAATATGAGATGGCCGAGGTTGGCACTTGGAAGGGGCATCTGCTGGCCAACGGCAGGGCATTCTGGCAGCGGGCTGTCAAGGCCTCACAAAGGACCCCTAGCCCTCTCCTTCGAGGGTCCTCCTCTTAGAGCCTAGCCTCAGCAGAGCATCGCGGCTGGGCAGCGTGTGGGGGCTCTGGTGCCCTGCATGTGCCGAGGAGGGGCCATCCCGTGGACGGTGCCGTGGCCCCAGGCCGTCGTGGTGGCCACAGTGTGCTTGAGGGTGCACTGTAGCCACCTTGGTCTCTGCAGCCTGCCCTCCCCTGACGAGATGAGCCAGGAAGGCCGTGTTTCTGCCAAGGGCAGATCCAGGCCGAGCCCCACACACACCCGAGGCCCCTGTGTGAACAGTGCCACTGGCTCCTAGGAGCAGAGTTTTGTGAAAACCTGCACTGTCTGCATGGACGCAGGGATGAAATCTGGAATGAAGCTGTTTCTTGTAAGGGAAACCAGATTCGAGGTGGGAGGGTCTGGTCCTCAGCCCTCCATGACCCCAGTAGACTCGTGTTTCCGTGGTGACGTGGCCAGAGACCACCCTGAACTTGGCGAGGTGGAATGCCAATCTGGCCTCGGACCCCCGGACCTCCGGGAGCCACGTGACCAGGACCCTAACCCTGCTGTCCCGGGTTGTCCCCTGACCTCCTGGATCCACTGTGGAGCATGGTGACAGCAGGGTGAGCCAGGGCTCCGAGGCGGTGCCTGACGGTGGCTCTTTGAGGCCCAAGGGCCATGGTGGGCGGGCTGTCTGTGCCTGGCCACGTCCAGAAGGCAGGTGCCGGGATGCTCCGGGGAAGCTGCCAGCCAGGCTGGGAGGGGAGCCCGGGACCCTGAGCAGGGCTGTGCAGGCGTCTGGCCGGCCGCCTCCTGTGCCCCCAGACCGCCCAGGCATCTCTGCTGCCATCGCCCTTGTCCCCATGGGCTGTGCCACCCTGGCCTGACGGTTCTCTCTCCTCTTTCAGACGAGCCAAGCTCAGGCTCTATCTGGAGCAGCTCAAGCAGCTGGTGCCCCTGGGCCCTGACAGCACCCGCCACACCACGCTGAGCCTCCTGAAGCGCGCCAAGATGCACATCAAGGTGAGCAGGATGGCGGCCCCCCATTTTTGCCCCTGGTCGGACCCCAGCGCGTCCCGTGCATCCTGGGGGAGTGACCAGGGGGCGTGAGGCGAGCCACCCAGCAGGTGCACATCGGGGACCTCTGGGGTACCGCTCTCTGGCGGTAGGTGGGCAGTGCATGGCCACGGGGGATGCTGAGGGTTGAGGTGGTCATGGGCACCTGCTGGGTTTTATCGGGAGGTGGGCGGCGGGTAGGAGGTAGCCATGCCTCAGGCTGGGGGAGCTGTGATCCTCGGGGGCCCTGGGCTCTGAAGGGGCAGCAGCTAGGAGGAGACGTGGGGCCAAGAAGGACGGGATGGGAAGGCAGCCCAGGGGTATCGGGGGGCTCTGGGTAGAGGGTGGGGTTGGTCTCTTAGGGCAGGCCCCCAAGGCCTCGAGACAGACCAGCTGGTTTGGGGGGTCTTGGGACACTTGGAAAAACCAGGGTGGGTCTCAGTCCCCTCGAGAGACGCCTCAAAGCCCCCAGGTGAGCACAGGTGGAGGGCGGGGAGAGGCTGCAGCTTCGAGAGAGGCAGTCAGTGCCCTGGGACCACACGGAGCAGCAGCTTCTCAAGCAGGGAAGGTGTGGAGAAGGAAGAGGGCAAGCAGGGGCGAGGGGAAGTCAGGAGTGTGGGGGGCAGCAGGGCAGGACTGCTGAGGGCCGGCTGTCCTCCAGGGGCTGGTGCTAGCCCAGGCCCACGCGTGACTTGGTTTGGCCAAGGCGACTGTGGGTCCTCAGAGCACGGGCCTGGCGTGGTGAGGGGGGCTCATCAGGCCTTTGGGCCCCATGGGCACTGGGCACCCTGTGGCCCCTGGCCAGGCTGAGGGTGAGGGGTGAGAAGTTGCCCCTGCACCCCAGTTCCCGGTAAGGGGGTGGCCCCCCGCCCTCCCACCCCCACAGCTCACAGCTCCCTCCCCCCCAGAAACTGGAGGAGCAGGACCGCAGGGCGCTGAGCATCAAGGAGCAGCTGCAGCGGGAACACCGCTTCCTAAAGCGGCGCCTGGAGCAGCTCTCTGTGCAGAGCCTGGAGCGCGTGCGCACAGACAGCACAGGCTCCGCCGTCTCCACGGATGACTCGGAGCAAGGTGAGGGCGTGGGAGCAGCCCCCGGGTGGGGAGCTGGGAGGGTGGGGACGATGGCCGCCCCGTGTCCCCGGCGCTATCCGAGGGCTCCGAGTGGGGTAGCGACGTGGTGTCACACGGAGTGCGAGGTGCAGAGGCCAGCAGTGTGCTTCTGCTTCGTGTTCCTGACGAGCTGCAGCCCGGAGCCCGGTCCCTCCCCCAGACCCCACCCCCAGAGCCTCTGCTTCCTCCCTGAGGTCAGAGATCAGCCCTAACTCTGGAGGGGGCCCCTCCGGCCGGCGCCTCGGTATCTGATCCTACCGTCTCTGTTCTCCCCAGAAGTGGACGTAGAGGGCATGGAGTTTGGCCCTGCTGAGCTGGACAGTGTTGGCAGCAGCAGTGACGTGGACGACCACTACAGCCTGCAGAGTGGCGGCTGCAGCGACGGGGGCTACGGGCCCCCCTGCCGGCGGCCCGGCCGCCCCGGCCTCTCGTAGGCCCAGCGCCCTCAGCTCCTTGGCCCGCCTGCCTACCTGGCCAAGCGCGCCAGCCCTCCAGTCCTCGAAAGCCTCTCCGCGGGCCCGCTGCTGTGCCATTCTGGAAGCTCCAGCTGCCGCCGGGGCCGCCCGCCTCTGCCCGCCTGCCGGTCAGGGCCCACCGTGCCGCCCACCCCTCCCAGCTGGGCAGGGACCCCTGCAGGGAGGCGGGGCCCAGCTCCCACATCCCGGAGCCCAGCGTAGCCGCCCACGGTCTGTTCTCAGATTCCTAATCATTCCAGAAGTATTAAATATCATTGCTGCAAATCCCGGCGGGCACCGTGTGAGGGGCTTAATGACCACTGCGGGGAGCTCAGACCCCAACCCTGGATCCCAGGAGAAAGGAAGGAGTGGACCGAGGAAGGAAGGAAGGCGTGGCTCTCCGTCCATCTGTCTGTCGGTCCACGTAGGCTCCTGAGGCCTGGACAGAGGGACCCATGAAGGGCGGGACTCGGGTGAGCACCCTGGGGCAAGTGGGTGGAGAGGGGCCTTTGCACCCCACACGTGTCAGGAGCGAGGGCTGGGCTCCTGGGGGCAGGCCAGGCCCCGCTCCCAAGCTTCTGCTCTGTTAGGTCCCTCAGATGTACACACGCACACGCCTAGGCACACACGCCCACATGCACACACACACACACACATAGGCAGACACACATGGTCACTGGACCCAGAGGGCACATGTCCTGGGGAGGTAGGCCTTCAAGGGGCATCTGGGCAAGTTCCGTTCCCAGCCTGTGCCTAGCTCCCTCTCCCCCCCCCCCCCCGGCTCACCTGCCTGATTTGCACTGGGCAGAGGGCTTCTCCTCCCGGCGGGGGCTGAGGTGTGCTGGGGGCGGCAGGCTGAAGCCACTGAGGCCTCAGGAGGCTTTCTCATCTACCTTTAAAGGAAAATAAAGCAAAAAAAAAAAAAAAATTGCTGCACTGCCCAGTAGCCCGGAACAGGGCTCCCAGAAGAGAGGCTTTTTCCCCCAAAAAAAGAGAAACATTTTTAAAAGAGATAAAAGCTCTAAGGACTCCCCGCCAAGTGACATCAGCGTGTGCCGCCTCAGTTTCCTGTACGAGATTTTTGTACTCTATTTTCCTAGCCGTTGCTGTGTCCTTGTTGCCGAGGGTGGGAGTGACCCAGCGTCTCAGGGACTTGTCTTGTATGTCACCGTCGTCCGAGTGTGCCTTGTGTCCCGTGTGTGGCCCCGCCCCGCCCACCACCACCAGCATCTCCCTTGTGGCTCAAGGGGCGCCCCGGCCTGCCCAGCAGGTGCCCTCCTAGCTTCCCCCCCAGGCGGCAGCCCCTCCCAGCAGCCTTGGTCTCCTGCCAGGCCAGGTCAGGGGGGTCGTGCGCAGCTTTCTGTCACCCAGCACCCCAGCATCGCTGTCCCCGGGGCCTAGCGAGGAGCCTGCTAACCACAGAGGTGGGTTCTCAGCTGTACCCAGCTTGAACCACCCCTGCTGCCCCAGCCTGGGGTGAGGGCTCCAGATGTCAGACACGGGCCGCTGATGAGGACCGCCCTTCACCCTGGGTAGCTAGGCCGGGGCCTTAGAGGCTTCTCCTGGCCTTTTCTTCCCGCAGCCCTTGCCCACACAGCAGTATGTGGGTGGTGTGCTGCGGGGCCGGCCGCCCGTGTCTGGTCCCCTCTCTGGTGTGTTGTAACCGATTGCCAGACTCGGGGGGGAAGCTGGTGTTTATTTTCGGTCATGCTGATAGACACGCCGGGGTGGGTGGCCTACTGAACCAGAAAGGGGTCCCTGGAATCGGCTCTGGCACAGAACCTGCCCTGCAGGGGGTCAGGATGACGGGTGGAGAGCGGGCTCACGACTGTCCAGACGTCTCTCTGGTGCTTGAGAGGAAAACTGTTCTGTCCCAGCTCCTTCCAGCGTCCCCGGGGGGCTAGAGCGCCCAGGCTCCCGGCTGCCGGAGCACGTCCCCAGAGGGCTCCTAGTGAGCCCCCGGCCCGCTCTGCGCGGGGCAGGAGTGCCCGGGCCGAAGACCCTGCTGCAGGAGGCACAGCTCCAGACCCCTGGGGCGGTCCGTGTTCTGAACTCATGAAGCACCAGCTCCCCCAATACCCCAGCCAGCAGAACCCTACCCAGGCGACCAACTGTGGCCCTCGGCTGGCCTTCCCACCTGGGCCAGGAAGTTGACCTCACTGGCCACCTAGGGGTGCTGGGCTCCCAGAGGCCCCTCCCTGCCACCAGCAGACACTTGAGGGGGTGGCCCTCAGGTCCAGGGTCTGGTGCTAGGAGTTACACATCCGTTCTGCCCTCCCTCTGGCTCCCTGCCTTTTGCACAGGTTAGCTGTTGCTGGTGGCTGCAGAGACCCAGAGGGGGCCCTGCTGAGGCCACACTGGATAACTGAGCACCTTTAAGTCTGTAGAAAGCAGATGGGACCAGAACAGGGTTGCAAGGGTGCCTGCGATCTCTATCCGTGTGCCCTCCCACACCTTTGTGGGCCACTGTGGCACTGGGTGGCCAGGATCCTGGAGTCCCAGGCTCAGGTTTGGGTCCCCACCCTCACTGGGAGGTGGCCCCTATATACCAGGCCACCACTGCCCCAGTGCAGGCCCAGCTGGCTGGGAAGACTGCAGGAAGGCTTCTCCTCCTTGGAGCTCTGGGCCCATCTTTGCGTTTTGGGTCTAGGAGGCCCGATGCCCGAGCCTGCTCTCCTGGCTGATGGAGCTGTGTGCCCAACTAAGGTCCTGAGGACCCCTGCCCTCCTGTCTGCCCCAGACAATCCCCATCTGCTGAGTGGGGCAGGCTTTGCCCACTCTCCCACCCCCTGTCTCTCTGGACCAGCTAACCTGGAGCCCCCTCTCCCTGGCCGGGCACACAGAACTCTGACCCTGGGCCTCATCTAGAGTAGGTTCTGTGCCAGAGTCTGGGGCTGCCCATGGGGCCTGGCGCTGGCCAGGATGGCGCGTTCCAAGATCCTCACTGGAGAGAATTGGGCCACCCACCTGCCTGTTCACCGGGAGGGACTGTGCTGTACCATTCTGTCTTTGTAATATAAATACAGATTTTTATACCTCACCCCTCTGGCTTCCAGTTCTTTCCATCACCATATTTGGCTCTCCTCCCCTCGGCCTCCATAGGGAGCCAGACCCCACTGCTGACCTTGGCAGCCTTCACTGCCCTGCCCACAGCTTCTGTTTTCAGGGAGTCCTGGCAGACCGTGGTCCTTCCCCACTGTCAACCGGCCACCACTGAGATTCCACCATCACAGCTGTCTCCCTGCGCAGTCACACCTGGAGTTGAATGAAGGTGGAACCTCCCCCCGCCGCCCCATTGGCCAACCAGATGCTCTTGCTACTGGCATTCAGATTTTGCTCTTGGCCCTGGGGATCTTCGGCCTTAGGGTGGATACCAGGTGTTCTCATCCGGTACCCTTTCCACGCAGCTGCCGTTGGCTGTCAGGGATGCACCTTGAGAAACCTTCTTGGACCTGCCCTCCGTGTCCCCAGAATATCCCAGGTGTGGCCTTTGCCTGCTGTGCAGGGTGTGGGTGTGAAATGGTGTGGCCCCGGCACGGGCAACTGCAGGTGAGATGCCCAGGCAGTGGGGAGTTGAGTCCCCAGAGCAGGACTTTCCCGGGACCCCGGGGTGCCCGCATCGGACATGCAACCACACACACTGGAGACGGCTCCCTGAGACTGTCCAGCAGGTTTTGGGGTGCCTGGGAGAGGACCTACAGGGACCTCAGGGAGGGATCTCATTCCTCCTCCCTCCCGCAGCGGGGGGCAGCACTGTGGCCTCTGGACCTGGGCGAGTCCGCCTGAGGCGGAAAGGAAGGAAAAGGACCTCTGGAAGGGGGGCCAGGGAGCTCCTCCTAGGGCTGGGGCTGGGGCTTCGGGTGTGAGGCCAAGTTCCAAGTATTGCCGGGACCTGAAGTCACTACCACCTTGGACTGCATGAGAGCCCCAGCAGCTGTGCCGAGCACTTCAGAGTCAGGCTTCTCACGCGTGTCTGAGAATGTCACTCGCCTGCCTAGAAAAGTCTCCGCTGCTCACTGCTTGAAGAATTGAGTCCCGCTAGTACTGAAAACTACATCTAGGAACAAATGATCTTTCACATCAGACTTCAGTTTAAACATATATAAAAACATATTGTCCAAAACCTAAAATACTTAAAAAAAAATTTTTTTAATGTTTATTTTTGAGAAAGTGAGCTGGGGGCGGGGGAGGCAGAGAGAGGGAGGAACAGAGGATCTGAAGCAGGCTCTGTGCTGTCATCGAGGCTTGACCTCACCAACCGTGAGATCATGACCTGAGCCAAAGTCGGACACTTAACCGACTGAGCCACCCAGGCTCCCCTAAAATTTTTTGTAAAGTTAATTTTGAAAGAGAGAGTACACGTGTGTGCGTACACATGTGTGCAAGTGGGAGAAGGGCGGAGAGAGAGAGACAATCTTAGGTAGGCTCCACCCTCAGCACGGAGCCCTATTTGGGGCTTGATCTCATGGGATCACAACCTGAGTGGAAATCAGGAGTCTGACGCTCAACAACCGACTGGGCCACCCAGGTGCCCCCTAAAATACTTTTTAATATCGGGAGAAAAATTCCCACAGGAAGGAGAAAAGGACAAACAGCAGTCGGTGAACCCCCTTGCTGCTCACAGCTGTGTGCCCAGGCTGCTTAGCCCACCGGCTTCCTTGGAGAAGTCGGCTTCATGGGTTCCCTTCATCTGCTGGCTCTGCAAGGGCCCCACTAAAACCCCAGATGAGGGGCGCCTGGGTGGCTTAGTTGGTTAAGCGCCTGACTTTCGCTCAGGTCATGATCTCGCAGTTCATGGGTTTGGGCCCCGTGTCGGGCTCTGTGCTGACTGCCAGCTCAGAGCCTGGAGCCTGTTTCAGTCTGTGACTCCCTCTCTCTCTGACCCTCCCCTGCTCACGCTGTCTCTCTCTCTCTCCTAGAAATAAAAAATAAAAATTAAAAAAATTAAAAAAAAAATAAAACCCCAGATGAGTTTGATTGGAGGAAAGAAACTTTTGTCTTGGAAATGAGTGTAACACACTTGCTTTCCTAAATCCCAAATGCAGCCTCAAATGCAGAAATACCCTAATAAGTCATGTTTTTAAAAGCTTTCGGAGTGTATGATTAAACCTGTTGTGTGTGTGGTTTGTATTCTGGGCACTAATAACATTGTGATTTCTACTTTATATTTTTACGGCCTTTTTTGGGGCCCCACAAACATCTTTCAAATAAATAACTATGGTCAGCAATTCAGAATCCTATGGAGAACTTGTGGGCCCAGCAATTGACAAGAGTCATGAGGAAAAATGGGCTTCCCAAACCGCGTCCTCGGCCTCATCTCCGTCCCTCACCGTCCTGCTCCTTGGGCGATCTTTCAAAAAAGCGGTCCCTTAGGGTGTCTGGGCTGCTGAGTCGTTGAGAGTCCGCCTTCAGCTCATGGTGTGTGGTGTCGAGCCCCATATCGGCGGGCTCTGTGCCAACAGCTGGGAGCCTGGAGCTGCTTCGGGTTCTGTCTCCCTCTCTCTGCCCCTCCCCCGCTCGTGCTCCCTCTCTCTCTCTCTCAAGAATTAAACAAAAAACTTTTTTAAAAAAGCAGTCCCCTTTTCTTTCTTCTCCTCTTTCTCCTCTGAGTTCCTCCTCACAGCCTATAAACATCCCAAGTTCCTCTCATGTTGGAAACAAAACAAACCCAAACCCTCCCCCCACCTCCCCTACCGCCCCACCCCCTCATCTCGTGTCCTTTCTGCTCCTCTCCCTCCCTCCATCTCTGCCTCCTCAGCAAAACGCCCAGACGGCCCTGTCTGCAGAGCCTCCACTTCCTCCCTCCAAGCCTCTCGCTCCTGTCCCCGCCCCCCGTCCCCGCCGCCAGGGTGGGTGGCCAGGGTCTCGCCCTGTCCTCCGCTCCCCAGCTCCACTACCTGCTCCCTAGTCCAGCCTCACCTTGTTTCAGGCGGGATACCGACCTGTGACCGCCCCCCCCCCCGGCATACCTGCTTTTCAGGTCATTTTAGACTTGTCTTTTAGAAGAGGAACATTAAAAAATAAAACGGATGAAAGGTTAATGAGAAGTATCTTCAACTCTGCCCCTCCCCCTCATGCCGTCTCTCTCAAAAATAAACATTAAAAAATTGTTTTTTGAAAACAAAAAAAAAAGGAAGTATCCTCAACTCCAGAGTAATTCATGAGCTCTTAGACCATTCTTTTTTCTCCCCTTAAAAATAGTAAAACTTCTCCAGAGAGACTTCTGCCCTTCCAATGTCACGAGGACGTCCCCGACGGCCGCCTGCGGGTCACCTGACGTCGGGGGGGAGGGCGCGCGGCTGCGGGAGGCGCGCGGCCCGACCCCGACGGGCGGACCCGCGTCGGCCCGCGCGCGCGGACTCGGCAGCGTTCGGCGTCGGTCGCTCGGAGACGACCCACGTCCCGTGTCGCGCCCTCCCTGGAAGGTGTTCCGTCTAGACTTAGTTACGTCTTGGACACACATCCACTCCACGTTCAGGTATTTTCAACTTTCTAAAAGATCTGTTTTGAAAACGGGATGGTGGAGGAAGTCGGCTTCTGCCTGGCGGTCGGGGGGGGGGGGGGCTGGCGAATGCGCGCTTCGCAAAACAACACTCAACGCAAAAGCCGGTAAAGCGAGTAAGGACGGCGGAGCCTAAGGACGCTGCTCCCCCCACTCCCCCGACGTCTGCAGGCGGCGCGCGCCCCGAAGCCCCGCCTGGCGCCGCACTGGCCCCCGGCCCGCTACCAGGCTTTCCGGGAAAACGCCCCTATAGACGACGGGCAGCTGGGGTCTAGCGGGACAGACCCGAGAGCCCGCCTCAGCCATGGAGCCCGCCGCGACGAAAACGCACCGCCGCAGGAAGCCGGGCGCGGAGACCCGGACGGCGCGCACCCAAGAACCCTCCAACCCCATCCACCCGCCCCCGGTCCCGGCCCCGCCCCGCAGCAGGGAGCCAATCAGCTCGCTCCCTACCGGATACGTCACACCGTGGGGGCGGGCCAGCACCCGGCTCAGCTCTGCCGCGAAGTCCCTCCCCCGCAAGCCCGCCTCTTCCGACGCCACGCCTGCGCAGACAGTCACGCCCCGGGTCCTGCTTCGGCTCTGAGCGCGCGCGCGCCGTGGCAGAACTCCCGTGAGGCAGTGCGGGCGCGGAGCGCGGCGGCAGCCTTCCGAGGGGCGCGAACGGAGCTTCCGGAGGTGAATGGCTCCGGCCTCGCCGTTCTGGGTGTTTCGGGGCGTGAGGCTGTGGGAGCGGCGCCGATCCCACAGCTGTCTTTTCTTTACAGGCACCCCGAGGAATTCTCTTCAGGCGCGCGAGTAGCCGTCGGCGCGACGTATCCGCAGGGCGCGGGGTAGGGGGCAGGGGCCGAGGGGCGAGGGCGGGGAGCGCGAGTGGGCGCGGGAGGTGAGCATGGGGGGAGCGCGGCGCGGGTGGGAGAGTGAGTGAGGGGGCGTTCGGGGCGGGGGCGGAGCTGCGTGGCGGGGCCTTTGGCGGGAGAGCGAGGGCGGGGGGCCTCGGGCGGGGAGCCTCGGGCGGGGAGGGGGCGGGGCTCGGGCGGGGGCGTGGTCTCCGGCGGGGCGGGGCCTCTGGCAGGTGCGCGACTGTTGGGACGCTCCAGGTCGCTGCGGGGCTCCGCTGGCCACTCGCGCGAGTCTGGGGTTTGTGCAGTTTGCCTTTCACGCCAGTTCGGTGGCTTTTGTGGTGTGTTTTATTGACGTGCATCCGTGTCGTAACTGAATTACACAGAAAACAAAAGCAGAGGCTTTTTCGAACGTGTTACGCATATTCTTAATCTGCGTGGCTCGTCTCCGTTCCCGAAATTCTCTTCGTGGAGTCCGTGCGGTGATTCAGCGGTGCGTTTGTGGCGAAGTAGGAAATGCCGGAAGTATTTTTACTTCGTGTCCGCCTCGTTCTTTGGTGCTTCTGATCTAAAGTTGAGGGCACTTAGTTTGGGGGGTTTACTGGGTGTTTTGCTGTAGGTTTTTTTTTTTTAAGTCTAATTAGTTTATTAGTTATTGTAGTTTTTAGGTGTGCACCGTGATGCCTTGACCTTTCTGTACACTGCGAAATGGTTGCCGCGTTCAGTCCGTTTACCACCCATCATCCTACAAAGTTACTTTTTTTTTTGGTGAGAACTTTTAAGGTCAGTTTGAGAGTGGTCCTTAAATCTTAAGCCTGGTTTTCTCTGCACTAGGTTCATCGTGACTGGACGTTGGTTCTTGTGTGATTGGCGATTGCTAGTGGAATCATCGAGGTAAGTATTCTTAACTGTTCGTCAAGGACATTACCGTATTTATTTCTATTTGCTTACTTAGGAAGGGCAGGGAAAAGAGACTGCTTAGCCACAGGCTGGCTTGGATTTGTTTAGATACACGATGTGTTTTAAACCACTTTATCTTTGGAAAAAATAGGATTTTCTTGGTAATTAGGTTTTCATTATTTTTGCAGTGTTCTAAGTAATACTCTGATTATTTTGTTTTGCTTTATCTCTATCAAACATTTCAGCTGCATCTACGTCAGGTTAGATGCTTCCCGGATATTCTGTGATATTTATTTACATTGTCCTTTTACAGATACAGTTGTTTTATTAGTTGTCTTACTTGTGGTCTAATGCTTGTTTTTTCCTCCCCAGGAGAAGTCATAGATTCTAAAAATATTTTTTCCTTCTCTATGAACTTAACATAAATTTAGTTTGTTATTTGGGTTTATTTTCTAAATATCCACACCATAAACCGATATCGGTTACCAAAAAATTGCACAGTTAAACCATGAGCTGTGGAAAAGAGTTTGTGGAAACACTAAAAAAAATTGATTATCCCAAAGCTGATACTCTTAATGGGGAAGATTTTGACTGGTTGTTTGAGACTCTTGAAGATGAATCATTTCTGAAGTGGTTTTGTGGGAATGTGAATGAACAGAATGTATTGTCTGAAGAAGAATTGGAAGCTTTTAGCATTCTTCAAAAATCAGGCAAACCCATCCTAGAAGGAGCAGCTCTGGATGAAGTTCTTAAAACCTGTAAAACTTCTGATTTGAAAACCTCTACCCTGGATGACAAAGAGCTAGAGAAATTGGAAGCTGAGGTTCAAACTCTGCAGAAATTAAAGACCCTAAAAATTCAGCGACGTAATAAATGCCAGTTGATGGCTTCAGTAACAAGCCACAAATCTCTGAGGTTAAGTGCTAAAGAAGAAGCAGCCACTAAAAGGCTGAAGCAGAGTCAAGGAATTCTAAATGCTATGAACGCGAAGATAAATAATGAACTTCAAGCTCTTACTGATGGAGTTGCTAAACTGATGATGTTTTTCAGACATTCTGATTTGGATCAAGGGACAAATCCACTGGTGTTTTTATCTCAGTTTTCCTTGGAAAAATATCTAAGCCAAGAAGAGCAAAGCACAGCAGCGTTAACTTCATATACCAAAAAACAGTTCTTTCAGGGTATACATGAAGTAGTTGAAAGTTCAAATGAAGAAAATTTTCAGCTTTTAGATTTACAAGCGCCATCTATTTGTGATAATCAAGAACTTCTTGAGGAGAGACGGCTAGAGATGGCTAGGCTGCAGCTAGCATACATTTGTGTTCAACATGAGTTAATTCACTTGAAAGCAAGTAATTTGAGCATGAAGTCAAGTATACAATGGGCAGAGGAGAATCTTCATAGCCGCACTAGCAAGGTAAACATGAGAAATGAGACTAACTTCATATTATAATTATTGTTAGTAATGGAGGGTATGTTAATACTGAAGTACTTTAGAAAGGGGATATAATACATACAGTTTCTTATTTTCTGTTCATGCTTAGTTTTGACGGGTCATTGTTTCTTTTCCTTTTTTTTTTTTTTTAAAATAATGTTTGTTTATTTTTGAGAGCGAATGTGACCAGGGGAGGGACAGAGAGAGAGGGGAACAGAGGATCTAAAGCAGGCTCTGTGCTGACAGCAGACAACTGAACACAGGGCTTGAACTCAAGAGTCGTGAGATGATGACCTAAGCCAAAGTCAAACACTTAACCGCCTGAGCCACCCAGGCACCCAGATGTGTCAGTGTTTTATACGAATAGATCTTCATATTACTAGAAGGCAGAAACAGTAATTCTAATCCAATCACATTAGCTAATTTTATTTATTTATTTATTTTTAATGTTTTTTATTTATTTCTAGGAGAGAGAGAGAGAGAGACAGTGTGAGCAGGGGAGGGTCAGAGAGAGAGGTCTGAAACAGGCTCCAGGCTCTGAGCTGGCAGTCAGCACAGAGCCCGACGCGGGGCTTGAACACACGAACCACAAGATCATGACCCAAGCGAAAGTCGGACACTTAACCGACTAAGCCACCCAGGCGCCCCACATTAGCTAATTTTAAACAAAAGTACTTTTTCTGACTTTGAAATTTCTATAGCTTCAGATTCAGAGAACACTGAAATTCCTTTTTCTTTTTATGTATGGGTCTTCTGCCTTGTCCGCTTCTTGTTTGATGCTTAATGAAGTCAGGGATCCAGGTCAGTGGACTGACACCCTGACTTTTTTATTGAGAATGTACAGATGTAGTGCACATAGTCCATCTGTACGCTTGGAAAGCTTGCTTTCTGGGTACTGTAACCACTAGATAATTGAGTGAAAATAGGACTAAAACTGAATACCAGCACCAAGTTAATTCCTATAACTGCCATAAACTTCAGAATAACATACGGAGTTTTGTCACTCTTTACAAGGGTTAAAATCATCTGACTAGGACAGTAGCTACTGGGATTATTGTAGTTTTAAGAAAAAATAGGGTACATTTGCATTCAGTGAGTAGTGTGCTAATTAATTACTGATTTTTGTTAAGAGAGGCATGAAAAGAACTTTCTTTTGGTAGCTCTTACTGTACCTACGTGGTATTAATAGCATTAAGATTTAGTAATTTACCTTTGGCTTAGTCCACGCTATCCTTTTTTTAAACTGTGATTTTGGCTTTTGTTAATATGAAATTAGTTTTTATTAGCGTGTTATTTGATAACCTAAAACTGAAAGTAAAAAAACTTTTTAAATTATTTCAACATCATACTGACTACTTTAAATGCAATTGCTTTCTCTGTGTAGGCTCTTGGCAAAGATAATTTGGATGCTAAAATTTCTAGCTTGAACAGTGAGATTCTGAAACTTGAAGAACAAATCACTCATATAAAAGATAAAAGTTTGCCTGCTGTGGTAAAAGAGAATGCCCATTTATTGAATATGCCAGTTGTAAAGGGAGATTTTGATCTACAGATTGCTAAACAAGACTATTATACAGCAAGACAAGAGTTAGTTTTAAATCAGTTGATAAAGCAAAAGGCATCGTTTGAACTTCTGCAGTTATCATATGAAATTGAATTGAGAAAGCATTGGGATATATATCGTCAACTTGAAAATTTGGTTCAAGAACTTAGTCAGAGCAATGTGATGCTCCGCCAGCGATTAGAAACGCTGACAGACCCGTCAGTATCTCAGCAGATAAATCCAAGGAATACCATTGATACCAAGGACTATTCTACTCATAGGTATGCTTCTGTGTTTCTTCAGTAATTCTTTTTGTTTTTGTAAAATACCATAAAGAGTTATAACTAAGATTGCGGAAATTTAAAATATTTTTTCACTCTGATTTTGGCCCTCTGTTCTCTTCTTTCATTTCTCTTGTATGTGACTCTTCCTTTTGAAAACTTTGCTCCCTTTTCCATTCTTGTTCGATCTGGAAGCAGCCGTGTTAGTGCTGGGCTGGGTGGGCTGGAGTAGTGAAAGTATACAAGGTCTTATGCACCATTGTTTAGATGTCTTATTTGAGATTGGAGCAAGAGTTTACAGGGAGTTTGAGTACAGCTTAGGGTGTAGTAGGTATTGCTGAGTAGAGAATTGATTGCATTTGGAGATGTCAGTAGAAAGAGAAGACTGACTTTATTTCTGTGCCTAGTCAGGTGAGTCAGAAGGAATGCTAGCTTCGAACCTCTTCTGGATATCTAAGCAGTTGATGGTATAGGGATACTAAAATTGGAGGGCTAAAGTGGTCAAAGGCCTCAAAACTCTGCCTCCTATTCCTCATTTTTCTCTAGGACTAGAGGAAAATTATCTAATCTTTTTGTTTTCTTATTAATGAGTTGAGGGGCATGGAAGGGGCTGCCCCATTGCACAATTTCAGAGGGTGGCATTGACATGAGCTAAGAATGCTTCCCCCTTGAAATTGTGTAGTCATATCCCACAAGAAAAAATTGGCAGCCTTGGACTTGAACCAGTTTTATGAAGTCTATTGCAACTTGTTAAAATAATAAAATAATTATAAAAATCTGTGTTTTTGAATTAGAAGAAAAAGAACAAACCCTTTTTGTCAGAAATGTGTAGAAAATGCTGCCTCACATTTTTCCATCTGTTCCAAAGGATTTTTCTTCTGTTAATGTTTGAAGTGTTAAATGGCCTCATGATCCATTAGGAATTTAATTTGACAATTAAATATATGTAAGACTGGAGTAGCAAGTTTACTATTTCTATAACTCTTTATTCACTATTTTTTACATTTTGTATTCTTAATTTTTCTTTTAAACCCACCACAATCCTATAAAAATAGATACGTGATGTGAAAGTTAAGTCTCAGAGGTTGACTTGACCTGGGTCTGAAAAAGATAGCCAGAACGTAGACCTAGGTCTTCTGTTTCAAGTTCCTTGTTATTTCCACTACATCAGTTATATTCTGTGGAAGAGATGTTGTCTTGGGAGGTGTCTCTGAAACATGCTTTGTTTGAAGTAAGCTAATGACAGTTAAAAAGTATTTTATATTTAAAACTTGGGAGATGAGAAAATGGGAATCAGATGTAGTAATTACAATATGTATTTCTGTAATAAGATGGTATTTTAGCTGGAATGTTTTTGGTTGCTTGGTTTAGCAGCAGGTAGGTTAATTTTTTTCCAGGTTAATTTTTTATGTTGTTATTTATCCCCAAAGATGCCCAGTGTAGTGGATTATAATTTTGAAGACTGTACTGATTGAGAATTTTTTCTTATAATTTTTATTTTTACATTTTAGGCTTTATCAACTTTTAGAAGGAGAGAATAAGAAAAAAGAATTGTTTATAACCCATGGAAACCTGGAGGAGGTGGCTGAGAAATTAAAACAGGATGTTTCTTTAGTACAAGATCAGTTGTCAGTTTCTACTCAAGAACATTCTTTCTTTCTGTCCAAACTGAATAATGATGTAGACAAGCTTTGTGATACTCTGTACCAAGGAGGAAATCAGCTTTTGCTTAGTGACCAGGTGGGTACTTATTTTTTTATATTCTAATTTTTGTTCACATATAAGTATTTTTCAGATGGTTTTGACCAGTGTAAACAGAATTTTAAAAACTTACAAAATATTTTAGCCATAAAAGGATATGTAATATTTATACTAAGAATTTAAAGAAAAATAAAATTATCCCTGTTATTATTTTACCTGTCTTAGCAAATAGAGAATTATTATATTATATTTGAAGTTTTCTGGGATGGCATGCTTCTCCAAATCGCATTTTCCTTCCTTCAGCAAGGAGAACTACTAAGCTTGATTTTATTTGTATTTCTCTTATACATAGATAATCCTAGACTGTATATTGTTTAGTTTTGTATGTTTTTGAACTTTACGTACGGGGTGTTACTGGATTGTGTATATTCTTTAGAAACTTGCTTGTTGATTAATATTAAGATTTTGATATTCTTCCATGTTGACATATGTAAAGTTCTAGCTCATTTGTAGTTTTCTTTTATATAGTTAGTATTCCATTATATAAAATTCCACAGTTTAATTATCTGTTATGTTGACAGACGTTTCAGTTATTTCCAGTTTTTGTTACTGTAGATTATACTGTTATGGATAGTCTGGTTGTATGTCTCACAGCTGTGCACGTCTGCACACATGCGCACACTCAGCAGTGGAGTTGCTGTATCACAGGTTCAGTTTTCAGGGTACATCAAATTGTTTTCCAGAATGGCTGTACCATATTACACCAGCAGTTGAGAGAGATGCTGTTGATTCACATCCTTTTTCTCACATAGCGCTGATTTGTAACTTCTCTTAATCTCTACACTTAATTATTTGTAAGTGTACAATTAAGCGACATTACGTACAAAAATATATTCACATGTTGTACAATGATGAATACTCTGCATTTCCAGAACTTTTTCATCATCCCAAATAAAGACTCTGTACCCATTAAACAATAACTTTCACTCCTTCCTCCTCAGCCGGTGGTACCTTCTATTCCCCTTTCTGTCTCAATGAATTTGCCCACTCTTGTTACCTACTATAAGTGAAATCATACATTTGTATGATTAAGTTTTATCCATATTGTAGCATGTGTTAGAATTTTATTCCTTTTAGGGCTGAGTAATATCCCCACTGTGTGTATATAGTACATTTTGTTTATCTGTTTGTTGATGGTCACTTGGGTTGCTTCCACCCTTTGGCTGTCTTGAGTTATGCTGCTGTGAACATTGGTGTACAGGTATCTGAGTCCCTGTTTTTGTTTTTTTGGGGGTGTATACCTAGGAAGTGGATTGCAGGATCATATAGCAATTCCGTGTTTAACTTTGTGAGTAACTGCCTAATTTTTGCATAGTGACTGTACCATTTTTAAAATTTATTTATTTATTTAATGTTTTATTTCTTTCTGAGAGAGACAGCATGAGCAGGGGAGGGTCAGAGAGAGAGGGAGATACAGAATCTGAAGCAGGTTCCAGGCCCTGAGCTAGCTGTCAGCACAGAGCCCAATGCGGGGCTCAGACTCACGAACCGTGAGATCGTGACCTAAGCCGAAGTCGGATGCTTAACCGACTTAGCCACCCAGGCGCCCCTGTTTATTTTTTTAATTTACATCCAAGTTAGCATATACTACAACAGTGATTTCAGGAGTAGATTCCTTAATGCCCCTTAACCATTTAGCCCATCCCCCCTCCCACAGCCCCTCCAGCAACTCTCTGTTCTCTGTATTTAAGAATCTCTTAGGTTTTGTCTCCTTCCCTGTTTTTATATTACTTTTGCTTCCCTTCCCTTACATTCATCTGTTTTGTATCTTAAATTCCTCATATGAGTGAAGTCATATGATATTTGTCTTTCTCTGACTGACTAGTTTCGCTTAGCATAATACACTCTAGTTCCATCCATGTAGTTGCAAATGGGAAGATTTCATTCTTTTTGATCACTGAGTAATACCCCATTGTACATGCATGCCACATTTTCTTTGTCCCTTCATCTGTCGATGGACTGTTGGTCTCTTTCCATGCTTTGGCTATTGTTGATAGTGCTGCTATAAACATTGGGGTGCATGTGCCCCTTCGAAACAGCACACCTGTATCCCTTGGATAAATATTTAGTAGTGCAATTGCCAGGTCGTAGGGTAGTTCTATTTTCAGTTTTTTGAGGAACCCTCCATACTGTTTTCCAGAGTGGCTGCACCAGTTTGCACTCCCACCAGCAGTGCAAAAGAGATGCTCTTTCGTCACATCCTCACCAACATCTGTTGTTGCCTGAGTTGTTAATGTCAGCCATTCTGACAGGTGTGAGATGGTATCTCATTGTGGTTCTGATTAGTATTTCCTTGATGATGAGTGATGTTGAGCATCTTATTGTGTGTCTGTTATGTGTCTGCATGTCTTCCTTGGAAAAGTGTCTATTCATGTCTTTTGCCCATTTCTTCACTGGATTATTTGTTTTTTGGGTGTTGAGTTTGATAAGTTCTTTATAGATTTTGGATACTAACCTTTTGTCTGATATGTCATTTGCAAAAATCTACTCCTGTTCAGTTGCCTTTTAGTTTTGCTGATTGTTTTCTTCCCTGTGTAGAAGCTTTTTATTTTGATGAGGTCCCAATAGTTCATTTTTGCTTTTCTTTCCCTTGCCTCTGGAGACGTGTTCAATAATAAGTTGCTGTGACCAAGATCAAAGAGGTGTTTGCTTGCTTGTTCCTCAAGGATTTTGATGGCTTCCTATCTTATGTTTAGGTTTTTTATCCATTTTGAGTTTATTTTTGTGTGTGGTGTAAGAAAGTGGTCCATGTTCATTTTTCTTCATGTCACTGTCCATTTTTCCCAGCACCATTTGCTGAAGAGACTGTCAATTCCATTGGATATTCTTTCCTGCCTTGACAAAGATTGGCCATACGTTTGTAGGTCCATTTCTGGGTTCTTTATTCCGTTCCATTGATCTGAGTGTCTGTTTTTGTGCCAGTACCACCTGTCTTGATGATTACAGCTTTGTAATGGAGCTTGAAGTCCGGAATTGTGATGCCTCCAGCTTTGGTTTTCTTTTTCAAGATTGCTTTGGCTATTTGGGGTCTTTTCTGGTTCCATACAAATTTTAGGATTGTTCTAGCTCTGTGAAGAATGCTGATGTTATTTTGATAGGGATTGCATTTAATACAGAGATTGCTTTGGGTAGTATTGACATTTTAACAATATTTGTTCTTCCTATCCAGGAGCATGGAATATTTTTCCACTTTTTTTGTGTGTGTGTCGTCTTCAATTTGTTTCATAAGCTTTCTATAGTTTTCAGTGTATAGATTTTTCACCTCTTTGATTGGATTTATTCCTAGGTATTTTATGGGTTTTGATGCAAATTTGTATGGGATCTATTCCTTGATTTCTCCCTTTGTTGCTTCATTATTGGTATATAGGAATGCAACCAATTTCTGTGCATTGATTTCATATCCTGTGACTTTGCTGAATTCATAGATCAGTTCTGGCAGTTTTTTGGTGGAATCTTTTGGGTTTTCCATAGAATATTGTGTCATCTGTGAAGAGTGAAAGTTTGACCTCCGCCTGGCCGATTTGGATGCATTTTATTCCTTTGTGTTGTCTGATTCTTGAGGCTACGACATCCAATACTATGTTGAATAACAGTGGGTAGAGTGAACATCTCTGTCTTGTCCTGACCTTAGGGGAAAACTCTGTTTTTCCCCATTGAGGATGATACTAGCGGTGGGTCTTTCATATATGGTCTTGAGGTTTGAGACTTTTATCCCTACTTTCTTGGGGGTTTTTATCAAGAAAGGATGCTGTATTTTGTCAAATGCTTTCTCTGCATCTATTGAGAGGATCATGTGGTTCTTGTCCTTTCTTTTATTGATGTGATATATCACGTTGATTGTTTTGCAGATTTTGAACCAGCCCCTGTATCTCAGGTATAAATCCCACTTGATCGTGTTGAATAATTTTTGTAACATATTGCTGGATCTGGTTGGCTAGTATATTGTTGAGGATTTTTGCATCCATGTTCATCAGAGAAATTGGTCTGTAGTTTACTTTTTAGTAGAGTCTTTGTCTGGTTTTGGAGTCAAGGCAATGCTGGCTTCATAGAAAGAGTTTGGAAGTTTTCCTTCCATTTCTATTTTTTGGAACAGCTTCAAGAGAATAGGTGTTAATTCTTTAAATGTTTGGTAGAATTCCTCTGCAAAGCCATCTGGCCCTGGACCCTTGTTTTTGGGAGATTTTTGATTACTAATTTGATTTTTTTTTTTTAATGTTTTATTTATTTCTAGGAGAGAGAGAGAGCATGAGCAGGGGAGGGTCAGAGAGAGAGTGAGTCACAGACTCTGAAACAGGTTCTAGGCTCTGAGCTGGCAGTCAGCACAGAGCCCGACGCGGGGCTCGAACCCACGAACCGCGAGATCATGACCTAAGCGAAAGTCGGACGCCCAACCGACTAAGCCACCCAGGCGCCCCACTAATTTGATTTCTTTACTGGTTATGGGTCCATTCAAATTTTCTATTTCTTCCTGCTTCAGTTTTAGTAGTTTACGTTTCTAGGAATTTGTCCATTTCTTCCAGATTGCCCATTTTATTAGTGTATAATTGCTTATAATATTCTTTTATTATTGTTTGTATTTCTGCTGTGTTGGTTGTGATCTCTCCTCTTTCGTTCTGGACTTTATTTTTTGGGTCCTTTTTCTTTTTGATCAAATTGGTTAGGGGTTTATCAATTTTGTTAATTCTTTCAGAGAATCAGCTTCTGGTTTCATTGATCAGTTTTTTTTACTTTGATAGCATTGAGTTGTGCTCTAATCTTTATTATTTCCTGTCTTCTGCTAGTTTGGGTTTTATTTGCTTTTCTTTTTCCAGATGTTTAAGGTGTAAGGTTAGGGTGTATATCTGAAACTTTTATTCCTTCTTTAGGAAGGCCTGGATTGCTATATACTTTCCTCTTATGACCACCTTTGCTGTGTCCCAAAGGTTTTATGCTGTAGTGTTGTCATTTTCATTGGCTCCATGTACTTTTTAATTTGCTCT